CTCGAATGCGTGCGTGCATGAAACGGGGGAAGCTGCCACCTCACCAGAAGAGGACCCTCAGAGGCATCATTCTTGGAGGTCAATGGTACCAAGTGAGAGCTGCCAAAGCGCTCCCCGACCAGAGCCATTTATGTGCTCGATGCGGCGCTGCTCCAGGTGAGTTGTTTTCACCGGTTTTTATGTTGCGGTGCCTACTGCAGGTTCGCGTCGTGTCGACCCCGGCGTTGGTTCCTGACACCGCGGGGATCTCTCAAACTTGAACGATCGGCAGTTCCGTGAACGCCGGATCGTTCAACGACGGACCGATTCTGGGCCACGGGCGGCGTTCATCTTTAAACGCGCGCGCTCGGGTCACCGCCGGTCGGCACGACGCGAACCTGCCGCATGCAGGCCAGCGGCAGGTTCCCATGCCGCCTGAACTCAGGCAACCAATGAAAAGAGCACAAGTCAGAACGCCAGCACATCAGGAAAGGATCGCCAAGAGGGCGATCGTCCCATACGGGTCAGGCCTTCTTGAGTTCGCCGAAGAATGGTGCTCGCGACTTCGTCGATGCCGATGGCACAGGAGTCGTGCACGTGGATGGGGGATTCGTTTTTGTGGATTGTACGGGGATAACTGTATGGAGTACATATAGACACGAAGTACAAGTAGGGGGGAACGTGCTAAGAGAAAACACGTTCTCTTTCCTTTTACGGGGGCTCGCGCGCGCCCGCGGCAAGCGCGCCAAGTAACACAAGGGAACTGCGAGCCAGAGCAGCAACAGGGCAAGGAAGGCGACAGCGAGGCGCAGGAGGAAAGGCTGACATATACATGACAGCCACATGTTTGTTGACGGCAGGTGGTACCTACTTCCATGTCCTGAGCTGCGTGTGGCCGGGTGGTCGGTCAAAATGTACCACGCAGACCGTGTCAAGACTGCGAGATTCAGAGGCTCCGTGCCCAAGGATAATTAGACCCCAGCAGGCGGCCTCCTCCTCCTCCATCACCTCCTCCTCTTCCACATTCTCCTCCTCCTCCTCCTCCTCCTCCTCCATCTTCCTTTCCAAAGACGGAGCGGATTTCGCAGTCTGCCAAGCATCCAGGTTGGTGCTGGGGACGTCGACCCTTTTTCTCAGATTGCAAAGGTTCGGTCAACTGCTGCAGGCGCTCGGACTGGACGAGGGGCCCTCAATGCCGGCGGGCTCACGTCTGGAAGGAGGCCGGGCTGGCAGAGAATTTCAGAGATCAATGTTTCTGGCATGTCGAAGCATAAGCGACCCGATACGTGTTTGAGATTTATCCACTTCGAGAAGGAGGGTAATGGGCAGGCGGACGAGGAAGCCGAGGAAGGGGCCAAGTCTCACCTCCCTCCTGAGCTGCAATCGTTGATGTGAAAAGGCTGCGCCAGGCTGCACAAGATGCTGCTGGAGTACGCTTCCAACTTCGAGGTGTGGTTCCACGAGCAAGAAGATGATTTCAACGACTATGTGCTCCCAGAGGCTGGTGATGATGATGATGATGATGATGATGATGATGATGATGATGATGATAATGATGATGACGATGATGGTGAAGTGTTAAACAAGGCGGTTACCCAAGCAGAAGCTGGGCCTGATCCTGGGCTTGTGGGCAGACACGCTCTGTTCGAATATATTATCGAGGACGGCAGCGATTCTTTGGTGTTCTGCACATCGTGCTGCAACTATTTCGGTAATTCGTGAAAGGCGCACACGGGTCTGGCTCAGGGAGGCCCTGGGCGAGCGATGTCATAAGGGAGAGCTATGGAAACCACCATGCATTTCTGCAACCACAGGCACCCGCACAGCGCCAAGAAGGAAGTAAAGCTGCAGTAACCCTGATGCCCGTCGATTGCCACGAACAGAAATATGTGTCAAATCAAGAAATGTGTAGACCCGTTGGTTAATTCTGTGGTGGTTGCTCCAGTGGACGAACAGGAAGAATTGATATCGTTCATATTGTTTATATGCGTCGAGCATTCTGAAGGAATGCGGGCTGACCATGAATGAGCCAAACTTCCTGGGTCGCGCCCAAGTGGAAGGGGCAGACAATGGCGAACATGATGTGATGATGCTGACGATGATGATGGATGATGATGATGACGATGATGGTGATGGTGATGATGATGATGATGATGATGCTGATGCTGATGCTGGTGCTGATGCTGACGATGATGACCATGATGACGATGATGACGATGATGCTGTTGATGATGATGATGCTGATGATGATGATGCTGCTGCTGATGACGATGGTGAAGTGTTAAACAAGGCGGTAACCCAAGCAGAAGCTGGGCCTGATCCTGGGCTTGTGGGCAGACACGCTCTGTTCGAATATGTTATCGAGGACGGCAGCGATTCTTTGGTGTTCTGCACATCTTGCTGCAACTATTTCGGTAATTCATCGAAGGCGCACACGGGTCTGGCTCAGGAAGGCCCTGGGCGAGCGATGACACAAGGGAGAACTATGGAAAACACCATGCATTTCTGCAACCACAGGCACCCGCACAGCGCCAAGAAGGAAGTAAAGCTGCAGTAACCCTGATGCCCGTCGATTGCCACGAACAGAAATATGTGTCAAATCAAGAAATGGGTAGACCCGTTGGTGAATTCTGTGGTGGTTGCTCCAGTGGACGAGCAGGAAAAGTTGTTATCGTTCATATTGATTATATGCGTCGAGCATTCTGCAGGAATGCGGGCTGACCATGAATGAGCCAAACTTCCTGGGTCGCGCCCAAGTGTAAGGGGCAGACAATGGCGAACATGTTGTGATGATGCTGACGATGATGATGGATGATGATGATGACGATGATGGTGGTGATGATGATGATGATGATGCTGATGCTGGTGCTGATGCTGACGAAGATGACGATGATGACGATGATGACGATGATGATGTTGATGATGATGATGCTGATGATGATGATGCTGCTGCTGATGATGATGGTGAAGTGTTAAACAAGGCGGTAACCCAAGCAGAAGCTGGGCCTGATCCTGGGCTTGTGGGCAGACACGCTCTGTTCGAATATGTTATCGAGGACGGCAGCGATTCTTTCGTGTTCTGCACATCTTGCTGCAACTATTTCGGTAATTCGTCGAAGGCGCACACGGGTCTGGCTCAGGAAGGCCCTGGGCGAGCGATGTCACAAGGGAGAGCTATGGAAAACACCATGCATTTCTGCAACCACAGGCACCCGCACAGCGCCAAGAAGGAAGTAAAGCTGCAGTAACCCTGATGCCCGTCGATTGCCACGAACAGAAATATGTGTCAAATCAAGAAATGTGTAGACCCGTTGGTTAATTCTGTGGTGGTTGCTCCAGTGGACGAACAGGAAGAATTGATATCGTTCATATTGTTTATATGCGTCGAGCATTCTGAAGGAATGCGGGCTGACCATGAATGAGCCAAGCTTCCTGGGTCGCGCCCAAGTGGAAGGGGCAGATTATGGCGAACATGATGTGATGATGCTGACGATGATGATGGATGATGATGATGATGATGATGATGATGATGATGATGATGATAATGATGATAATGATAATGATGATGATGATGATGATGATGATGATGATGATGATGACGATGACGATGATGATGATGATGATGCTGATGCTGGTGCTGATGATGACGATGATGACGATGATGACGATGATGACGAAGATGACGATGATGACGATGATGATGATGATGATGATGATGATGATGATGATGATCACTTGTGGTCAGCACGCCCGTGTGGCGACGGCCTTCAGGCTCTTGTGCTCCAGGCCACTCTCATATGCGACAGGTGGTCCCGAGTACGTATGGGAAAGGGCTTGCTGTCTGACTAAGGTGGCGTTTGATCCCAATTCACATCCATGATCAAATCCTGCCTTCGCGCCAGGTTCGTGCCGCGGCAGGTGTGTCCCTTCCTGGGCCCCAGGGAGTAGCGAGCTTCTCGCCCTGGGGTTCCTGCGCGTTGGGGCCACCCGGCTTTGTTCTGCTCGGACTCCGGCTCGGTGTTGATTGAGTTGCTGGACGCCAGAGGCGCCGGTTGCTGCGATGTGGCCCTGTCCCTCACCGACGTGATGGAGACCAGGGGAGCGCTCTTCTTCCCGACGCCAGAAGAGCGCCCTCTGAGGGCCGAATGGTCACTGGAAGCCACCATCAGCTCGCAGGCGTCGCAACGGCGGGCACCTGCGCAGCAATGCCTAGGAGGTACCCTTGGCACACCCTTCGGGTCGCCTGCTTGCCACGAGCGCCAGGCCTCGCACAGGGACCCAGGAATCCTTTGAGCTGCCCCGAGCGGCGCGCACCACACAGCACACACGCGGGAGCCTTCTTCGCCGGTGGCGCCGTCTGCGCCCTCGGGGCCCCTCGCCTCCGACGTCGTCGAGTGCGAGGGCTTCATGTCAGGGTGAGCGCGGGCCTGGCGCAGGCGCCGTGCCCCCTGCCGCGGCCCGCGGCCGAGGACCTCGCGCGCCACGGCACTGAGCCCATCGGTCTCCCAACCGCCTCTCTGTTCGCTCGCTCGCTCGCTCGCTCGCTCCTCCTCCTCCGCATCCTCCTTCCTGATCTCACTTCTCGTTCCCCTTCTCCTCCTCCTCCTCCTCCTCCTCCTCCTCCTCCTCCTCCTCCCTTTCCGCCCCACCCTCCTGCCTCTTCTCCTCCTTCCCTGCTCCTCCTCTAACCCTTCGTCCAAAACCTCCTCCGCCCTGCTACACCTCCTCCTCTTTCTCCTCCTCCTTCTCCATGGTGCTCCTCCTCCGCCGTGATGCTCCTCCTCCTCCTCCTCCTCTTCCTCCATGATGCTCCTCCCGGTGGGAGTCCTGAGGATTGTCTCCACAATTGAGCACCACCAAGGCGACCTTCTTGTCCGGCCTCTGGGCGGCTACTGCTTGCAGGCCATCGTTGCCGTCGCACTGGCCAAAGGCCCGTTTAGCTGGGTTCCCGTCGCCAACATTTCTAAGAACATTGGTCTTCAAGATGACGGAGCCTCGCACAATGAATTTGGATATGTGCCCTATAAAATAATACTGCGGATGGAAAGATCCGCCACCGTTCCTGCACGGAGTGGGTTTTTGTTGAGTCTCGTCTGCTGTCTGGAACGTGTTTCAATTTGTTCTAAAGCCGACCACCCCCCGTCACCGAGGTGCCCCCCGAAACCGCCTCCCCACTCCCGAGCAGATTGGGGACATCTTCCATGCTAGACGACATGTAAAAACAATGAGGGATCGGAACACAAGCCCCCCCCCCATGGTGGTCAAAACAAGCCCCCCCGAGGGGCGCTCAAGGGGCACCCAATAGGCCCCAAAGAGGCCGCAGGGAGGCCCCCAAGCGGCATCCAAGAGGCCCATAAGAAGCCCTGAAAACCGCCACGAGGCGCCCAAGACTCCAAGGCTTCACCTCCAAGACGTCTCAAGAGGCCTCTGAGAGACCCCGAGAGGCATACCACGAGACTCCAATCGGCATCCAAGACGCTTCTGGCCCACGGAGGCTCCCCGAGCTCTCTCATTGATGCCACATGGGCAGCGCCCCTGGGCATCGTTCCTGGATGGGCTGGTGAGGGTAGGCGAGGCGTTAATACTTCCAACTCCTTCTTGCCACGCTGTTGCAAGGCACGGTGGCGTGGTTTGCCGCAGGCAACTGGATAAATTTGCTCCTGAAATCATGATTGGGGCATCCATCAAATTACCCGCACGGTTTGGACCGCCCGTCGAATTCAATATCAAACTTCCATCGATCCAACCGTGAGCGCCAGCATTGAGGTCACCGATGATGTCGTGAGCATATCCTTGCCCATGCTGCCAATCGCCCGAGGCAAAAAAAGCATCCTGGGGCTGGAATCCCTCCCAATGTTGAGGCATCGCGTAACCGGCTAAGCTGCTCAGCAGGATTGCGTCGGGCAGCTGCCGATGAACGTCCCCTATCAAGCCAAAGCTGTCGCCGCTGAACCAGTGGAACGCAATGCCAGAGACGTACTTGGCCGATGCGCTGTGCTTCAATGTTGCGTTCGTCCAATTCATCATCAGCTCCGCGTCGCCGTCAAAGGCCAATATCTTCACGTTCGGGTGCGACTCGCTCAATTCGGGCCCCAGGTGCTTGGCGATAAACTCTGCCTCCTCCTCGGGGGAGTACCTGCACGCCTCCCACTCCTTGTCGGCCGTCGGGTCGTTCTGCGGGGTGATGGCCTCTTGCCGAGCGGAGCGGGGGGAGGAGTAGTAGTAGTAGTAGTAGTAGTAGTAGTAGTAGTAGTAGTAGTAGTAGTAGTAGTAGTAGTAGTAGTAGTAGTAGTAGTAGTAGTAGTAGTAGTAGTAGTAGTAGTAGTAGTAGTAGTAGTAGTAGTAGTAGTAGTAGTAGTAGTAGTAGTAGTAGTAGTAGTAGTAGTAGTAGTAGTAGTAGTAGTAGTAGTAGTAGTAGTAGTAGTAGTAGTAGTAGTAGTAGTAGTAGTAGTAGTAGTAGTAGTAGTAGTAGTAGTAGTAGTAGTAGTAGTAGTAGTAGTAGTAGTAGTAGTAGTAGTAGTAGTAGTAGTAGTAGTAGTAGTAGTAGTAGTAGTAGTAGTAGTAGTAGTAGTAGTAGTAGTAGTAGTAGAAGTAGTAGTAGTAGTAGTAATACTAGTAGTAGTAGTAGTAGTAGTAGTAGTAGTAGTAGTAGTAGTAGTAGTAGTGGTAGTAATAGGAGGAGGAGGAGGAGGAGGAGGAGGAGGAGGAGGGAGAGGAGGAGGACCAGTGTAAACCCAACACTCGTCAACGATGTTGCACCACACTCTCCCTCCAAGCTCACTCCTCATATGCCCCTACAAGAGTTCATTGGTACTGAAAGAAATTCACCGTTGGAAGACAACCGACTGAAAATCCTGAACCCTGCCAGAATCATGCCTGAACGTTTAACGCCACGGATGAACCTAACTGTTGCGTCGTGACGATCCTGATTGATTCGTGCCAGAAAGACCATTCCTAGGACTTCAACACCGCGAGTGAACTTAACTGCTAACCCCTGTTATTCCTTCATCGTTCCTAAATATCAACTCTGGGACGTTGGTCGTTTTGATCATTGCAACTGCTGTAAACTCTGAAACGATTTTGCGCGGTCCTAAAGGGAACCACAGTTTGAACACCAGCCGTCTTCCATCCGTGAATCTCTTGCAATAGTTAAAATGAGTATGCGCGACGCTAAAGCTCTCGCGGCTGTTCATCCGTGTCTACCATGAGAACAACCTTCGCAGCAGGCCCTAAAATACTGCTGTTCCCCGCCACCGCGAGGAGACGCGGAGCTTTTACATCGAACATCGCAGGCACTGGATCTGCTAGGCAAACCACCGCTCCGTCGGGCCCCTGGCGCGGGCCCTAGGATCTGCCCCATGTTCTCCACGTCCCGAAGTTAGTCCAGTAGGGTCGGCCACGCGACCTTCGCTGCCTGAGTGTCCTGCGCGTTCAGGTTGATCGCGAGAACTCCCTTGCGCTCCATGCCCTGATCGCCGCCCTCCTTGGCCGAGCGGGCCTTCTTGCGCTTGCAGTTGAGCATCTGGGCGCCGAGCTGACGCGGGGTCTGCTGCTCCGCCGCGGTCGCCCAGAACTCCGCGAGCGTCTTGCGGCCCCCGTCGCGCGCGCGGCTGCCGTCGGGCGCGACCTCGCCGATGGCCCCCCTGATGATGCGCGCGAAGAGGGCGACGTGAGGTGGGCATCCTGATGTCCAAGCCACCGTCTCGCTCTGTTCTGTTTTTCTTTGAGCTCCTTGCTGTCGTCGCCGTAGCTCTCGTCGCCCGCGACGCAGGCTTGGCCTAGCCCCTTCGCCCTTCGCCCACGAAATGATTGCGGTAGGCGCTCGATTCCAGCGTCGCCGCGCGCCTCTCCAGCCCCGCCGCTAGCTTCGCCATGCCCTGCGCCATCTGTTCCACGCCGTCCTTCTTGCTGGCCTTCCTCTCGGGCTGGGCCGCCTCCGACCCTTGGGCGCCGCGCTTCGGCGCTGTCATCCACGCAGGTAAAGCGAGCGCCGACGCGCCGACCACCTTGCAATCTGACTCTGGCTGGGGCGGCGCGGGGTCGGGGAGGCTTGACAGCCAATGGCAGGTGGGGCTGAAGGCGCAGACGTAGCTCATAATTGCCCCAGTATGTTCGCAAATCGGACACCCGCTGCTACCTGGCCCGGTGAACTGCGCGCTCGAAGAGCCCCCCCGGGGATCGCAGCAACCCAGGTATAGCACTCTGTAGATGCCTGATGGCGGTGACCTGTGCGGCGCGCGCCCAGCTGCGCACTGCGCGCGCGTTCAATGGCGCGAGCGCATGTGCTGCGTTGAGTGCTCGATGCCTGCGTCGCAGACGAGCTGCGAGCGCGCCCCCCGGCTTCGGACTTTGCCCCGCGCCCCGCCCCCTTTCAGGCGAGAGGCCCCTCCGTGCGCGCGCCCTCCTCGCCACCCGCCCCCTCGGCCCCTCCCTCGAAGCCAGGCGGAGCGATCTCGCGCGAGAAAACCGAGGCGCGATGCTTGGCGAAGTCCAGGGCGGTGAATTCGCGAGCCATCTCCTCCCCCTCGAGTAATTTCCAGGGGGGGGGGGGGGGGCGGGGGCATGGCGAGCGGCAGCTCCTCGTGGTCATGAACGGCAGCAGCATCGGCCTGGATGCCGGCGCGCATTTGCAAGAGTCAGGGGGGGGGGGGGGGGGGCGCATTCGAAGCGAGGGCCGGGTCGGCGGGGCAATGTCCCCGATCCCCCGATTCGAAATCGAGGAGAGAGAACAGGGCTGCCCATATCTGCCCGTGCATCTGTAGGCGGAGCGCCCACGCCTAACGCCAGGCCAGTCGACGGGCGCGCGGCTCGGCTGCGCGCGGAGCCACGCGCCAAAAAGCAAGAACCTGCGAATTTCAAGGCTTCTGCTGACGCACTGGCCCCATCCAGGAGGCCGACCCGCCCGTGGCGATGGGGCCCAGCTTAGCAAAGCGAGCAACCAAGCGTGAATATTAGTGCACGCTCAAGCAGAAGCACACCACGGCAGACAACATCGCGTTCTGGACCAGTGACAGAAAGAGAGCGCGCTTCCAGCGCCGCGGTATTCGCAGCGACCGCACCCCCCAAACCATAGATAGCTGAACTCGTCGCCGATATGCGCCGCTCCAGCTCGTGGTTCGCATCCTGCGCAGGTCAAACCACTGGCCCAAGACAGCGTGCGACGTCAACTGAAGTGCCCGCCGCTCGTCCTGCTTTGCCCCGCCATTGCTTACATGCGGTCACCTCTCGGCCGCAGAAATAAAAACTCGCAACCTGTTTGTTCCTGTTCTGCCTGCTTCGTGCCATCCAGGGCCAGGGCAGCGCCCGGGACATGAACGGCCTTCTTCAGCTGCACTCGTGCCTCACGCATGGCGCTGCCCCATTGAGGGAGTAGCGCGCGGCGGAGATCGTCGGCGCAATCGCGAAGGAATAAGCAGGCCTCATCATCATCAGGCATTAAGCCTCGGGGAAGAGACGCCCCAGACTTCAGACTTCATCTGCGTCGCGGCTGCCCGGAAGGACGAGCCCGGGAAGGCGCTCGCGAGGAGCGGGCCCCCCATTAAGCCTCCAGCGCTCGGGTTCACGTTGAAGTTGCCTTCGTCTCCTTGCATCTCAATCACCCCGTCGCGACAGAGACTCCTGCGTAGTTTCCAGTCCTCTGGTTCGGCGATATCCTCCACCGTCGAGTCGGCAGCTGCCCGGGAGGCGCTGCCGAACGCGATCGAAAGGCCCCTCGTCGCGCTAGCGAAGCCCACGCCCTGGAAGACGAGGGCGTCGTGCCTATTCGGGCGCGCTTTTCCCTGATGCTCTTCGCTCATTCACGGCGCGCGCGCGTCAATATTGATGCGTCGCGGATGCTGTGAATTGCAGCGCTTCGTGGCTGCGTTCTTAGTGTTTTTTGAATATACATGATTAGACACGTTTAGACACGTTTAGACATCTTTTAAGACATGATTAGACATGTTTAAACACGTCGTATCGGAAAAATAGACACGAGTGCATTTTAGACACGGATAGACACGTTTAGACACGAAATAGACACGGATAGACACGGAAACGCAACGACTCGTTTAGACACGAATCAAACACGTAACGAACCATGTGTAAGGACTGACAACATCATACACGGACATGCGCGCATGAAGGTCGGGCAGTGGTTGGCCCAGCAGGGGGCGTCGATGGCAGAGCAATGCCGCGAAAGAAGCTCGGGCATGGAATCTATGTTGGGATTGCTGGCGTCTAAATGGGGTCGGGGCAGCTGGGGCGCTGAAGTCGCGGAGTAGGTGGGAAGCGGGGCGATGGGCAGATGCATTTGAGATGGAACCCGAAGGGGGAACTGAAGGAGGACGAGAACAGGGAACGGGGAAGGAAGAGGAGGAGAAGCAGGAGGACGATGATAATGACAAGGAGAAGGATGGCAATGACCAGAGAGCGCGCGCAGGATTACCATCACCATCGTCATCCCGACGTCATCATCGGCATCGTCGTCATCGTCGTTGTCATCGTCCTGGTCGCGATCCGCCCTCAGCATCCCCGTGTTCATCCTCCGCCTGCCCCCCCTCCTCCTCATGTTCCTGCCCCATGTTGCTGCTGCAGCTGTTGCTCCTCCTCCTCCTGGGGATATAATTCCCCCCCCTCCTCCTGTGGCTCCTCGTCCTCCTCCTCCTCCCCCTCGTCATCCTCGTCCTGCTCATCCTCCTCCTCCTCCTTGCCCTCCCCTCTGTCATCTTTCACTGGCCAGCCAACATGCTGTAATCTGCGATATCAGGGGCACTAGCCACCTGCCCATGCCGAGCTGATGGCGCATTTGCGAGCGATTCCACGGCATGGCATGCTATGTATTTTACGCACGTTTAGACACGAAATATACATGCGAACATAGACATTAGACACGTTTAGACAGGTTTAGACACGGCAGAATAGACGCGGCATAAAATGTTAGACACTGCTTGAAACAATAGACACGTATAGACACTCGAGCACGCCGTGCAAGCGAGAGCGCCGCGCGTCTATTCATGTCTATAACTGGTTGTTTTAGACACTCGCGCACCTCTCTCGAACGAGAGCGCCGCGAGTCTATACGCGTCTAAAGCAAAATAGACACGTCTTCCAGGGCGTTGGACTGGCGCAATCTCCCAGACATGCACTGCGTGACCAGAACTGCCCCTTCGCATCTTCTGCGTCTTGCGGAGCCGTGCGCTTGGGGCGCAGCCCCCGCGAGCTTAATCTCCCGGCGAAAAAAAAAAACTTGCTGATGGACGGCAGCGCGTGGATAGCTCGTTTGCCCAGTGCGCCCATCTTCGAACTTCCCCGCGTCAGCCCGCGCCCCGAGCTGTGCGACCAGTAGAGCGGAGCCACATCAGCTTGTCTAATCGTGGCCAATCCGAGCAATGTCACTTCCTTGAACATATCCATCTGCGCACCACCCCCATCGCGCCCCAGGCGCGAGTGCTCTGCCTTGGTCGCCTTGTCGGCCGAGAAGTGAAGGCCCCGCAACTCAGCGGGTGAAATGCCCACTGGCACTGCCCTTCTCTCCGTAGTCTTGCGAAAGTCAGGGATGAGGTCAGCGTGGCCCTCCGCAACTCGATAAGCGCGCTCGCTGACCTCCCGAGCCGGCACGACAGGGGGTGGTGGGGCGTCTCGTCGGCCCCGCCGCTCGGCCCATTTGACCTCGGTGACCATCGCGCCGCCGTGGCCGCCCCTCCAGCTTCCAGACGTCGGGCCGCGCGTCCTTGCTCAATGTAACGATGCCAAGTCGTCGCCCATCGCGATGTCGAGCGCCGAATCTGCAGCGAGCAGCTTGCCGAGAGAGCCGAGCGGCCTCGTGCATTCGGCGGCGTCGCCAAGCTTCTCGAACCTGTTCCATCAACAGCTCCTTCGCCATAATCGCCGGCCCCTTGCGCTGCCGCTGAAGCGCGCGAGAGAACCCCCTCAGTTGTTTCTCTATGTCGTTCAGTTTGGCTGAGGACGGGTCGGCCGCGTAGCCGCGAGCACGTCGATGTTCAGTGCGTTGCTCAAAGTGGCGTCGGCGCTCAGCGCAATCATCTGGATTGGGCGCGCGCGGCGCCTGAGAGAAGAACTTCGCCCCCGAGGATGTCATGATTGCTGCTGAGGCTTCCCACATGTCATCAGGGGCGTTCTTATTAGCCAGCTCGCGTAGATGTTCATCATTCTCTGCTGGTTCGGTGAGGAAGGCCCCGAGAAAATCCTGCTTCTGTTCCCCCCGTAAGATGGCCGCCATCATCGCGTCGCCATTGAGCCTCGGAGGTGGGGCTGGTGGGAGAACGTCCGCATCCTTTTCGCAGCCGATTTCCAATAAAACGGGGATGTGGTCCCTCGGCGGAATTCCTCGAATCGGGTTGTCGCCAAGGTCTCGGGCGAGATGGCATCTGCTCAAGCGTTCCAGCCAGCCTCGGGGAAGAAACCAGTAGTCTAGCATGCTGCCCGTGGACGGTGTGTTCAACGACCAGTAGGTGTACGCAAAGGAGCTGTAAGAGGTCGCCGAAGCCATTTTTTGCTCCATCAGCAAATGCCGAACTGCCTCGCCAGCGCCGTTGCGCCTTCGCCCTCGAGATCGAGTGGGCCCCATTGCCGCGCAGCGCGGTTCAATCCAAATTCCAGCCTTCACCTGTGCCCCGATGCCGTCGTTTATGCCCGCATAGAACAGCGGGAGTGTGCGGCAGGGGAACGCCTGCAGGACTGAGCGCCACCAGCGAGCAAGGGCCTTCACACTCTCGTGGTAGACTCCGTTCTCTTTGTGCGACCGTGGCTGGGAAGGAAAGTAGAGCACCCCGTAGGTGATGTCGATGGCTCTTTTCTGCACACGTACCGCCATGCCTCGGCCAGCCAGCTGCTTGGGTGGGGGCCACGTTTGTCGCACGTGTCGGTCTTTGTAGCCTGCTCGTAAGATCACCGCACAGCCCGTCGCCGCCGTGGTGAGAGCCCCAGGCTGGTGAACTGCCTCAAGGACCGTGCGGTCAGCCACACGACTCCGAAGAATACCGTCAGCTTTCCTGCACACCGTCTGTGTGCCACACAATGATCCCGCCTCGTGCGTCGTCGTTTGGTGAAAAATCTCCTGCGATCTCAACCCACTCGCCCACATAGGATTTTATATCCAATCATTCTCGGTGCGGTGCCCAGGGTCGGCGCCATCTGCAGCGGCTGGCGGGCGCCGAGGCCGTCGCGAAGGCAACGGGCTGTGCGGCGCGACGGTGTTGAGAGCCCCCCCCAAACCTGGCAAAATGCTTCAGCGCAGGGCGCTGGAGGAGGAGGAGGAGGAGGAGGAGGGTGGAGTAGGAGGATGGAGGAGGGAGAGGAGGGAGAGGAGGGAGAGGAGGGAAAGGAGGGATGAAGGAGGGAGGGGGGGTTCCACCTGGTTGTGTGCCACCCCCCTTCCACCCCCTATCCCCATCTCGGGGAGGCAGCGTGGACAAAAAACTGTGACGTCGCGCCTTTTTCACAACGTCGACCCGCTCCTGGAGCCCTCTTGTTTGGTTTTAATTTTTTTGCTTTGTTTGTTATCATCATCGGCACGGCCCGGCCCCCGGAGGCTGAAACTCGCCACAAACGCTCCGTGGTGATTTCCTCACGACGCGAGGGAAGAGCATACTGCTACGCATGAGATGGCTGCCAATGGGAGCGGCCAATGAGGAGGCTGTGATGCCTCTTTTGATCATAGAGCCGGCTATGATGCCCACTCGTGCCCACCCCGTCCCGTCTTCAGGGACTTCGCATCCCCCCGTGATGGTGGGATGGGAAGACGGGCCGCCACCACCGGCACTGCACGCACGGTGCCAGGCTCGTGGGGACCTGCCCCCGCGGCCCCAGCTCGGGGAGGCCTCGCAGACCTCCCCCCCCTGGGAGCTGCCCCCCCTGGTGGCCGTGGCACTGCCCGAGCGGCGGGGGACTGGCCGCCAAGGCAGCCCACGGGGCGGCGGACCGGGGGCCTTGTGCCCACGCCGCTGGAAGGTGCAGTGCGCACTGCAGTTTTCGATGGTCCTCCGAACGTGTGCCAGCGCCAACCTGTGCTTGTCCACCGATGCCCTCCAGCACGACGCAGGCGGTGCGATGAGGGCGGAATTGGGCGGCGCGCTGCTATCGGCGGAGCTGGGCGGGGCCAATCCTGGGGATCATCGAACTTTTTGAGCCGCCCCGCTGCGCACTGCACCTCCCCGCGCCGCCTCCGGTCCCGTCGTCGACGATGCTCGTTCGACGCTGCGCCGTAGGCAAGTTGGTCCGAAGAGCCCCTGGGGGGCGAAACTTTCTCGTTCTCGTCATCGCTCGGACGTCCACTCGCTCCGTGCGTGCATGTTTGTCGCGAGCCGACCGAGATGCTATGTTTGTCGCGAGCCGACCGAGATGCTCCCGAGGGCCCTCGCCGATACAAAATGCACTCGTCCGAGCCATGCCGAGCTTCTCGCTTGAGGCCCGATCCACAACAGGTGCAGCGGCGCGGCAACGGCGCAACGGCCTAGCGGACCGAGCCGGCCCGAGCGCAGCCGACCGCGACGCGGCCGCGGGTGGCTTCGAGAGTCGCGAGAGGCGGGGGGAAGGGCGTGCGGCACGCGCGGCGTGCTCGTGCTCGTGGGCGCCGAGCTGCACTCCTTGGGTAAGGATCGGTTGGGCCTGCCCGCTGGTCGGAAGAAGTGTGTAGAGCCATGAAGCAGGAATCGGCGGCGAGCGAGGGGGGGAAGCGAGGAGGAGAACGCCTTCTCAGAAGGCGGCGGAGCCTCCCAGAAAGCCTCTGGCCTTCTGAGAGGTTCTCTGCGTCTTCGGGGACGGCTTAGAAAACATCTCAAAGAGCCGGGGGACTTCCGAGACTTGGGAGAAGGCCCGCCCCTTCTCACTTCTCTTCCTCCTCCTCCTCCTCCTCCTCCTCCTCCTCCTCCTCACCCTCCTCCTAATTACTCCTCCTCCTCCTAATTCCTCCTCCTCCTCCTCCTCCTCCTCCTCCTCCTCCTCCTCCTCCTCCTCCTCCTCCTCCTCCCCCTCCCCCCCTGGGCTCGCCGTTCAAGGAAGGCGCTGGAAGTAGATTGGGCGTCCGCCCGTCCCCTGGAGACGAAGGAGCAAGGAAAGCCACCCGATCCTCGAGGTAGGGAGGCGCTTGAAGTAGACTTGGATCTGGGAATCCAAAAACACTGCCTCCGAGTTTCTTCATAAGCGTCGGGGGGGCGTCACCCCCGCCGACAGCCCCACATCGACCACCGTCGCGGGCATCCACCGCGTGCCGAAGGCGCTCCGACCCCCGTCGCGGCGCGACGACGAGGCGAGGTTGACCCCCGTCGGGGGGGTACCCCCCCACGCTTATTAAGAAACCCAGAGTACTTTCAACAACGACCGACGCAGAAGAATGGCCCTTCGCTGGAGTGACTTCTGGTGCGGGCTCTCTGGGGCCCCTGATCGGTGGATGCGCTGCGGAAGCAGCAGTTTGCGCGCCCAGGTTTGGCTCCCCTGCGACCCCCCTGGAGCTGCGCACCAGAGGTCACTTTTGCCCAGGGTCACTCTTGCGTATATAGTCGCATCAAAGGCAATACGGTCAGTAACTGTTGGATAGCGCGTCGAGCCGCAGGTTCTGGCCCACTGGCCCCCCCCCTCTCTCCTGTGGCCGACGGGAACCCAGGGTCTCAAAGCCGGTGGAACACCAGTTGGGGCTTGGCCGTGGATGTCACACCGACGTCCTCATCAGACAAGGAGATATCCAGGGCCTGACGCCTCCCGGGCGCACTTCTCGACCAAAGCCCCCACCGTGCGGTGCGCGCCGTGGGCGGAAGGCGCGAGTCCGCCTCGTCTCTGCCCACGGCCACAGGCCAACCAACATACAATCATGGCACTGCCCGAGGGAACGCTGAATCCACCGATCTGGCGTGCGAGCTTACAAAAGCGTAGACTTGTGCTCGCTGAGCCTTCGCACTTTCTTGAAGAGGGGTTCGCATTTTCGCTTTGAAGAGGGGGGGGGGGGGGCGTGTCCCGCTCTTGGGGGGAGGGGGGGGCCTTGGTTTCGCTCTGGACGGGGGGGTGGAGGGGCGTGTCTCGGTTTCGGGGAATGGATCGTGGAGGAGACGAGGGAGAGGGGGGGGGGGGGCGCGTCCAGGCGTCGGACAGCGGAGCCCTGGAAAGGAGGAAGGGTCGTGGAGGACGGTGGGGTGGGGCCGTGTCCCGGTTTCGGGGAGGGGAACCCTTGGAAGGGGAGCGGGGGGCCCGTGCCCCGGTTTCGGGGGCGGGGGGGTCCCTGGATGGGGTGGGGGCTCTGGAGGGGGAGGTGAGGCTGGTCCGCGCAAAGAGCGCGTGCGCGCGTGCGTGCGCGCGTGCCTGCGTGCGTTTTTTTTTTTTTTTTTTTTTTTTTTTTTTTTTTTTTTTTTTTTTTTTTTTTTTTTTTTTTTTTTATAAAAAAAAAAGATGCGGATAATCTGCCGAACCCAGGCCCGCTGTAGCACTTCAGGGATAATGACATCCCAGCAGAGGAGAGCCCACTGATACAAAGGGTCACACCAGGCCGAGACTTCAGGATTTGGGATTCCACCACCCTGTAGGCATGTAGACAGCCATGCTGCGCCCTGCTTGCCAGGCTCGCACCGGGCACCCCTGAGGGCGCGTCTCGTAGCATGCACAGGCGGAGGGGGGGGGGCCGTGAAGACCAACTCCGTAGGCTAGCGCTGCTGCCATCGCCTGCTTGGCTAATGTATCAAAGAGGGGGCCCGCCTTACGCATGCGCCGAAATCGAACTTGACGAGCCTTCATCTTTCCGCCCCGAACCCTGATGCGATTGTACCGAATCGTCTCCCCAGATGCAACCTCCGCCCCGACGACCTCGAGTGCGTCGACGACCCGGTAGCCCAGTGCACCAATGCGACGACAAACCTGCTCGCCATACCGAAGGCTCGAGCTAGTGACTGTCATGTTCCGCGTGGCTGCGCTAAACTCGATATCGTCTAAAGTCGCAGCTAGCTCCGAGAGAACGTCGCGCGCGTGCTCCACAACGTGCCTGACCGTCGATACTAGCTGGACAGTAATATCATCAGCGTCCAGAGGTATAGACCGTTCAACATGACACGCGAAGGTCATCAAAAAAGCCAACGGGGCTGAATAGAACGAGCTACAACATGAACGCTGCTAGGCTGCAGCCTGGCAAGATGCCTCGCGCTGCCCGCGCAAGCTCCGAGCAGGCACCTCCCCGCCCAAGCCTTCTGCTTGCTCCGTGCATCTGCAAAGCCAGACGCGACATCGAGTCGAGCCACGGAAACCTCGCCGAACATCTGCTCCTATACGATCAACCTCGAACCAATGTTGTCGAATGCCTTTTCCACGTCGACAATCGCGCGCGACGCAACAGCATCGCCAGGGCGACGCGGGCACCTGTCTTGCGATTCTCCCTGCGGCGACGCGCGCGCGGCAAGATCCGCGGCGCACGTGCCGGCGCCTAGCGCTCGATACCCACGCCCAAGAGTAGAAACCCACTGCCGTACACATGTAGTCCGAGACTTCGCCGATACTCGGTAGAGCGACGCGAGCAACGCGATGGGCCTGCATCCCCCTGCGGGCTTCCCAAGGAGGAGTATGCGGACATACTGCATAGCGCTGGGCCCAAGAGACCACTGCTCGCATATGTAGACCACGCAGTCTGACATCGACAGCGCCTCATGACTGAGGATGGCCCAATGACGGGGTCTCAAAAAAGTCGGCCCCACTGCGGTCCTGGCTGGGAAGCTCATGGAGGCCCGACGGAGCACGCGCGTGCCCATGGGCGGCATCCTCGGCCCCGAACCCCGAGGGCGCGCGAGCTCACCTCGAAGCCCATCAACGCACGCTGGCTCGCCGGCCCCGTCCCAGATGTCAGCCCAGAAGTCCACCTGAGCGCTCGCGACGTCGGAGGCGCGGCTGGAGGGGCGGGCCCAGGGAGGCGCGCCCCCGCGACAGCTTCCAGCCTTTCGGCTCCGTCCAAAGATGCACGGGCCGCGAGCGATGTCCCAGGCAATCTCGCAACGCTGGTCTCTCTTTTCGCCGCGCCCGCGCACGCGCTCGCGTGCAAACCTAGCCAAAGCGGAAGCCAGACTCAGCGGCAAACGCGCATGAGGGCACTGAGCCTGGTTGAAGATGCCGATCAAATACGACGACGCCTCCAGAACAAGACCAGCTGGGAGGCAACCTGCAAGGCGGCGCATGCGCCCTTTCCCCGCTCTCAAATCACGCATCGGCTGCCACGCTGAGCGATGCCTGCCTAGGGGCACGCAGCAGAAGTTGACCACCGCGTGCGCGACGTCCTCGATGCGACGCTGCAGCAGCCTCAAAACAAGCGACGCCGAGGTACCTGCCAGCTTTTCGCGCGCCAGCGCGCCCTCCGCCGTGACACGATGATGCTCGATGCAATTCCCGCGGCCCCGACGACAAAACGGGATCTTCGAGCTGAAAACCAAAACAAACTCTCGTTCGGCCCCTTGAAGAAGATGACGATGCAAGCCGTGAAGTCCCTGCTGTGGCGTTTCAGCAGCGCCTGGTCCGAATTGAACATCGGCTTCAACCCGCTCTGTCCAGGAATACTGCGGGTCGCCGAGCTCCACCCGCGCCTCGTCGGAGTCGTCCACTTCCACCTCGGGCTGCTTGCTGGGCTTAGCGGGGAAAACCGCCGGCCCGCGCGCGCGCGCCGCGCGCTGCGCCCTCGGCTTCTGTCCCAGCGCCGCTGTCCTTGGATCGTGCGATCGGGGGGCGCATGCGTGGAATCTCCTCGGCTTGCCCATCGTCGCCGACATGCTGCCGCTGGCCGACAAATATCCGATGACAGTGCGACCCCCTTTCTTCGATGCCCTGCGCGAGCCCTCATCCGCAACGACCAAATGGCCATCGACCTGGGGCGCGACGCCGGATTCGCCCAAGACCGCGCGGCATGGGTTGGGGTTGTTCCAGCCGCCGCCGATGACGCGCGGGACGCGGTAGAAACGCAATGATTCGCCATCGCCTCAAGTCGGGCCACGCCGTCGCGCGCCGGACCCATTTCTTCCCGCAAGCAAATGGAGCCAGCAATCGAAACACCTCGGGCGCCTCCGTGCATGCGCGGCACAACGCGCCGCGACGCAGCGAGCACGCGATCGCTGACATGAGAAAGACTGGGTTGGTCGCCCCGATGTGGCTTCACAGAAAAAGCCCAACTCTGGGAGGCGCGCATCTGTGATCGGACCTGTTCGGGGCGTTCTTTTTGGTTGTAAAATGGGCCAAGACAGCGCTTGCGCAATTGCCGACAGCAAGCGCGCGCCGCGTGCCCCGTCCGGGGCGCGCATGGGCGGGCGCGGGCAAGGCCGAGGTACCTGCCAGCCTTTCGCGCGCCAGCGCGCCCTCCGCCGTGACACGATGATGCTCGATGCAATTCCCGCGGCCCCGACGACAAAACGGGATCTTCGAGCTGAAAACCAAAACAAACTCTCGTTCGGCCCCTTGAAGAAGATGACGATGCAAGCCGTGAAGTCCCTGCTGTGGCGTTTCAGCAGCGCCTGGTCCGAATTGAACATCGGCTTCAACCCGCTCTGTCCAGGAATACTGCGGGTCGCCGAGCTCCACCCGCGCCTCGTCGGAGTCGTCCACTTCCACCTCGGGCTGCTTGCTGGGCTTAGCGGGGAAAACCGCCGGCCCGCGCGCGCGCGCCGCGCGCTGCGCCCTCGGCTTCTGTCCCAGCGCCGCTGTCCTTGGATCGTGCGATCGGGGGGCGCATGCGTGGAATCTCCTCGGCTTGCCCATCGTCGCCGACATGCTGCCGCTGGCCGACAAATATCCGATGACAGTGCGACCCCCTTTCTTCGATGCCCTGCGCGAGCCCTCATCCGCAACGACCAAATGGCCATCGACCTGGGGCGCGACGCCGGATTCGCCCAAGACCGCGCGGCATGGGTTGGGGTTGTTCCAGCCGCCGCCGATGACGCGCGGGACGCGGTAGAAACGCAATGATTCGCCATCGCCTCAAGTCGGGCCACGCCGTCGCGCGCCGGACCCATTTCTTCCCGCAAGCAAATGGAGCCAGCAATCGAAACACCTCGGGCGCCTCCGTGCATGCGCGGCACAACGCGCCGCGACGCAGCGAGCACGCGATCGCTGACATGAGAAAGACTAGGTTGGTCGCCCCGATGTGGCTTCACAGAAAAAGCCCAACTCTGGGAGGCGCGCATCTGTGATCGGACCTGTTCGGGGCGTTCTTTTTGGTTGTAAAATGGGCCAAGACAGCGCTTGCGCAATTGCCGACAGCAAGCGCGCGCCGCGTGCCCCGTCCGGGGCGCGCATGGGCGGGCGCGGGCAAGGCCGTGGCGGCTCCGGCGCCCGCGGCGGAAAACCCCCGCCCGTGGTTTTGACGCCGTCGCCTTGCGTCGACGCCCCCCGGGGATCTTGTGGCATGGGTCAGTCCAAACCCGGGTCAGTCAGGCCTTGCAGAATCCTGCTAAATCCTGCAGGATCCTGCGCCCAAGCCCGGGTCAACGCCAAAGATCCTGCAAGATCATGCAGGGCCCTGCGCTCAAACCCGGGCCAGTGCGACCCTGGCCCTGCAGGGCCCCGCAAGATCCGGCGTTCTGGCTGACCCCCGTTTGCGCCGACCCCGGGCTCTTGAGCCCCGAGCCCCGAGTGCGCGCCCGTGGCCGGGCGCGCGCGAGATTCTGGGCAAGGCCGCGCGACGGCCTGGGAACGCGCGCGGGCGCGCTCGCCAGCGCCCCCCACCCGCCCGCCACATTGCGGAGGGGCGGGTGCCGGCTCTGGCCCGATTGGAAGCGACGACGCCGCGGAGGCTTGAGCCAAAATGGCGACGGACCACGTGCCCCCGCGCCCTACTCTCCCCCCTCCTCAGCTCACTGTCGCCCACCGATTGACCCCCCCTATTGACCCCGCCGCGAACTCGCCTCCCGCCTCCGCCCTCGCTCGCGTCGCCCTCCCCATCGCCACCCCCTTGCCCTCCGCCCCCCGCCGTCCGTTCGCCCATCCCCCTCCGCGCTCCCATTATGTCCTTCCTTATGTGGCCCCCTCTCCCGCCCCCGTTCCCCGCGCCCGCCGGCCTCCCTCTCTCCCTGTCAGGATATACTCGTCTCTGCCACGCTCGCCCCCCGAGATCTTCGCCCCCGACCCCCGCGCCCCCGCCGCCCTCTCTGCCCCTTCCAACCCTCCAGAAACAAACGAAAACGAAGCGTGAAGGAATTTAGATGCAGTTTCCTCCGCTCCTGCGCAAATTGGGCACCGCCGCCTACCGCGGCCAACCTTTGGCCGATTCTATCGGCGGCTGGGAGCGAAGCCCCAAGTCGCCGAGGCCGCAGAAGTTCCCGGGGGCCAGGGGCGATTTCCCATGGCCCGATCGGCGCGTGAAATTTCGGCGGGCCGCTTTGCCAGATGCGTTCCAAAATTCTCGTCGCCCCGATGCACCAATCAGGCCTGGGATTTTTACCCGCATGGTCTTCTCATTTTCCGGAATCCCCCGCGGCCCTGGAAAGTGGGCGAACGCACGCGGGAGCCCCCGCTGGGATTGCAGGCGAAGCTCCACATGGTGCACAACCTGAATGAGACGTGCGACAACATTACCATGGGGGGGGGCCTCCGCGCCGGGGGCATGCGCGGGGCTGCCGCGCGGAACGCGATCTGTTCAAACGGAAGCGGACGCTTGCGCGAATACGCTATGCGCGATGATGACTGCCCCTACTGGGCTCGTAGGTGGCGCCCCCGAGAGGGCGCCGTCCGCCGGGCAGAGCGCGCCGAGACGGGCGCGGAGACGCCGCGGGAACTCCAACTGTAGCGCGAAGTGCACGGCCGCGATCTCCGCGAGGGGCGCGCCGACGAGGGCAGACGCATTGGGGCGCCCCCGCGAAGGCCGCGGGCGGGGGCCCCTCGCCGGCGTGAGCCGCGGGAAAAGCGCGCCGCCATGGTTGCGGACGCGCTTGCCCCCCCCCCCGGGGCCCGCGGGGGGGCGGGGCCCGTTGCGGGCCGCGGTCCGCGCAAGGGGCGCGCCGACATGAGCGCGGAGACGCTTCGGGTAGCCGCTGCTGGGGCCGCAGATGAAGCCCCAAGTTGGGTGGCATCGACGGGCCACCAGGAGCAAGCAGCAGGCAACGCAGCAGAGGCGGCTGCGAGCGGAGGAGGGCGGGGGGGGGGCGGATAGAGGAGAAGGACGCGCGGCGCAGCGGAGGGATCACAAAGCACCTACCAACGAAAGAAGATAGAAAAAGCAAGCGGCACCGACGAAAACAAATCCTTGCCATAATTCTACATCCGGGAAATGGATTGGTGTAACATACACTCCTCCGAAACTCCTGCCATCGTAGCGCCCGTGGGCCCAGCGATGCAGTCCGAGATGAAAGCCTTCCAACCGTTGCGAGCGCGCCACTCTTCTGCGGGGCGACGGCCGTCTCCTTGAACTCGAAGTTCTTGCGGCGCCACCAGATGAGCGCCCGCGGCCCCCTCCTCCAGGAAATCCTGCAAGCGATGCCACCCGTTAGCGTTATGCGTAGAGCTCGGCGTGGAGCTCGGCCTCCGCTGAGCTCGGCGGAGAGCTCGACGATTGCCATCAGGCCGCGGTGTTCCAATGTGTGCGACATCACCTGGCCTTCCACCTTCACCTGAAGTGCCCGGAGACTCGATAGTTGAACTGACAGGTATACCCACTCACAACGATCGCCTCTCGCCGCACACGCAATGTGCATGTCCTGACCTATAGTGAAGTTGTCCACTAGGAGGCATGTCATCCAGGGACCCAGGGAAAGAGCAGCCCCATTGAACAACTTCGACGTCGTACGTACAACATTGGAACCAATCCTGCTCCATTTTCTCACCCTCGCCGCCATCAGCGTACAACTGCTGATCCCAGGTTGCGGGTCCAATAGCTTCTGGATGAGACGATCCTACGCGCGGTAGTGCTGACCGGGCTGCAAACGGCGCTCGAGGCGGCTGCGCCTTTGCCATCTGCTTCCCAACACCTGGTCCCAGGCCGTAGGTCCCATCCCTTTTGGAGGGAATGCACCTGCTGCGATGTGGCGTGGACCGCGCGGCCGATGGCGCCCTGGGCTGCGATGCCTTTGCCGCTGGCGCCTGCACTATTGGAGTGGCCTGCTCGGCCCCGCCTCCTGCCGCCTGCTGCACCTGCGCGAACTGCATCTGTAGCGATGCCAGCCAGCATGGACTCGTGGTTGCCCGCCAGGATAATTGCAAGTACCGCTTGAATGATAGTGTCCAACCGCTGCATGGCCACCTGGAGCTCAGGGGGACCACTGCCAGACGGACTTGGCTGGGCAAGCATGGCAGCTCGAGCCAAGTTGACCTCAGCCTGGATCTGCACCAGCTCACCCGCCACGATCTCGTACGCAGCCCTCTTCTCTGCGAGCTTCTCGCAGAGCGCGTCGACCACACCCTTGATCTCCTCTGCCTCTTTCGACTTGGCAATCTTTCGTTCCAAGGCACGCGCAATAGGGCGTCGGGAGTCCGCTGCGCCGTCTCGCGAAACTCGGCCTCGCCAAGGTCGAGCTTGGCATGCTTGATGAGGGCTGAAGCATCATCCAACCCCAACTTCTGAAGAGCACACAACGCTCGACGACATCTGGCGACCTCGTCGGATGATGTAGCTTCTGTATTTCCACCAGCTGCGTCGCCGGCGGATCCAGGAGGACGTGACAACGAACGCCGACGCGGCTTGCCGCTGGATGAAGCTTTGGGCACGAAACAACGATCTGGTTTCCCACTGCGATTTCTCTAGCACATGAAATAAGTACGATTGCCAACACAATTATTCGTATACCCTCATTGACGAGACACCGTGTACGGCCATCTGGGCTCGCGCGGAACATTGGACTTTCCCAAGGAACATTGGAGGCCTTCCGACCCTTCCCGTCGCTACTGCCACCCATAACGGAAGATCTCTGGCCACCGCTTGCTAAACCACGCCACGAGCCCACGAGCGTCTCCTCCTAAGACGCCGATGCCAAACAAAAGAGCGAGAGCGGACCATATCAGGCCTAGAGACAATCACACGTGTGCGACCAAACACGGGAACGCGCTCTGGCCTAGGGGCTGCTTCAGTCCCGGGCTGTGCACTGCACATGCATGCCGCGCTGCAAGCCACCTGGAGGAGGAGGAGAAGGAAGAGGAGGAGAAGGAGGAGGAGAAAAGGACTGATGACGAGCAGGATCCGCGATGTGCGATGTGTGAGGAGGCGGATGCAAGGGGAGAAGATGAGGACGACGAGGGAGGAGATGGAATGGGCAGGAAGAGGAAAGGGCAGGAGGAAGGATGGAAGGCCCACACGGGCACGCCCTTCTCGATGTACGCGGAGATCCACAGGGAGATGTAGCGGGCCCAGACTCTGGCCATCTTGCCATCCAAGCAAGGCTCCTACCCCTCTCCCACAGCCGTCCCTCTCCTCTCCTCTCCCGTCCCTTTCCCGCTCGATTCCTTCCCTCTCCTCCCCTCTCCCCCTGCCCCTCTTCCCCCACTCCTGCCCCCCCCCCCCTCCCCCCTCGCCGTCTCCTCCTCGACGTCTCCCTTTCCTCCTCCCCCTTTCTGCCCTTTGCACGACCCCTCCGACTCCCACGCCATGACCTGTAGCAGACACGCCCCAGCTCTCAGGAATGGCGCTCCCGCCCAGGGCTTCCTCGCAATCCACTTGGGTTGGTGAAGGCCCCACTGCGCCGACGACCGCTGCCGCTCGATACCTCCCTTCGATTTACTTCTACGCGCCTTTGTCAGTTGCTCCCGCTGCACTCTCGCTCGAGACTTTCTCGCAATCCAATCGAAACGGTGAAGGCCCAACTTCGACGACCACGGCTCCCGCTCGAAACCCACTCCCAATGTACTCCGAGACGCCATGGCCAAAGGTCCCCGAATTCAGGAATGGCGCTGTCGCCCAGGACGCCCTCGCGACTTAGTCACCTTGGCGAATGTCCAACTACGACGACAACGGCTCCAGCCAAACGTGCCCTCAACTTTGGAACGGCTCTCGCGCTAGACTTCGAGGCAATTCATCCAAGTTGTTGAGGGCCCACCTGCGACGACAAGGCTCCCGCTCGACGCGTGCTCCCAATTTACGCCCACGCGCCCTGTTCAGATGCGCTCGCACACTTGGGAGTGGCCCCGCTGCCCAAGACTTCCTCACTATTCGCTCAAATTGGTTAGGGCCCGGCTGCGACAATCCACTCCTAGACGCCATGGACAGAGAAGCCTCCGAAGTCACGAAAGGCGCTGTCGCGCAAGGCCTCTCGCAAATCAATCGGATGGTCAAGGCCAGCAACAACGACAACGGCTTCCGCTCGAGACTTCCTCACAACAAATTACCCCGAGACGCCTTGGTCGGAGAGGCCGCTAAACTTTGGAACGGCGCTCTCGCGCAAGATTCCCCCACAAACCATTCAGCTTGGTGGGTGCACAGCTGCGACTCGTTCGATAGGTGCTTCCGATTTACGCACGTGCCCTGGGTTCGAAAATTCCTCACAATGCGCTCAAGTTGATGAGGGCCCAGCTACGACAACTTACTCCGAGACGCCATGGACAGAGAGGCCCCCGAATTCAGGAAAAAACGCTCTCGTGCACAACCTCCTCGCTGATTCTCTGCGCGGCGCAGGCCCAACTACAACGACAACGATTCCAGCTCGATTCTTCCTGACAACATACTCGGGGACGCCATGGCCAGAGAGCCCACCAAACTCAGGAATTGCCTCGTCGCCTGGGACTTCTTGGCGATCCATCCACATGTGGCCCGAAGTGCCCGCGGGCGCGCTCGCACGACGGCCGCGGCAGAGTGCTGCGCAGACAGCATGCATTGCTCAATGCTTCTCCCTGGCGATGGTATGAGGAGCAGCCACCCGAAAAAAATAGTGGTTCATGGACAATGACGACGCGGGCGGGTACAACGGAGAGGGAGAAAACAACTGAAAATCCAAACATGTGAAATCACGCGTCCATCATCGTAGATGGCCGTCGTTGTCGTTGCCGTCGCTGCCGCTGCCATCCTCGTCGTTGTCGGCGCCGTCGATGTGATCGTTGTCGGTCGGCGTCGTCGCTGCAGTAGCTGCCGCGGCTGCCGCCGCCATCGCCGTCGCCGTCGTCTCCCATGTCGTCGTTTTTTCCTGGGCGTTTGCTGGTGCCGTTGTCGCCTCGGCCGTCCTTGCGGCGGGGCGGCAGCTGCGAGGTGGGGGCCCAGGGGAGATGATATGCGCGCTTGCTCGGGCTCGCATGCGCCCCGCCACTTTCCCGTGCGCGGTTCCCCCCGGCGCCCGCGAAGCTGCGCCGACGTGCGCGGCGCGGCCGCTGGGGAGCGGGGGCGCACGAGGTGCGCCTGCGCCAATGCCCCTCGGTCGCGCGCCACCGCGCCGGCCTGCCTGTTTGCCCGGGGCGCCGGTCACGAAGCGCCCCGGCGGAGTCCGCCAGGGGAGACGAGCGAGTCGGGAGGAGGAGGTGGTGGAGGGGAAGGATGACGAGTGGATAAAAAGTGTATTTTTCCATCGGCGCGCGCTCTCTGCGGTCAATCGTCCGTCTGCGGGTCAAGCCACGCATGCAAACAGAAGGAAGCAAAATAAGCGAAGAGGAACTGCGGCGGGCACTCTGCACGAGGGGCCCGTAGTCTCTGGGGGCGCGCGCTCCCGTCGAAATCGGACCATCGCGATTCGAACGAATCGCCGCTCCGGCGCGAGCACGAGCCGCCGTCGCCCCCCGCCGAGCGACGGGCCCAACCCACCGCAGCAGCAGAAGCAGAGGCGCAAAAGGGACACGCCCCACTCAAACGAGGACACAACAAAAGAGAATAACCCACCCACTCAGGAGCCCCGAACCACGTCGGGAACCTGGCGCGGGCAGGCAGGCAAAGAGCGGACGACAGCCGCGGGGTGCAGCAGGTGCCTCGAACTTCGTCGGGAGCCCAGCGCGGGGCGGGCAGGCCCGGAGCTATCGGGGGCAAAGCGCTCTAGGCACTGTGTGCCGCCTGCAAGCGCGCGCGGTGAATGCTTGCGTCTCGAAGCAGCTGGCCAGCCAGAAGCCGCGCTCTACTCCCTAAACCAAACATCCGACCGCCGAAAATGACGCGGTCGGGGGTCCTCGAGCCGGGCTCGCACGGCAGCGGGCGGCGGGGGGGGCGGCGGGGCGGTGGGGCGGCGCGCGGGGCGGGCGCCGCGAGAGAGGCGGCGGGGGGCCCCTCCCTCGGCCCCCCAGGGGCGCTAGAGAGAAGAAACAACGCAAGCAAGGACACGCGAAGGGAAGGAAAGGCGGGCGGGCGAAGGCCGGCGCCCGCATGCCGCCCGTCCGAATCTGGGAGACCATGGCAGACCCTGAATTAGCCAAGACACAAGGACTCCACTAATTTCAGCCAGCTTGCAGCGGCGCGTCAAACCTCGGGAAACAATCAGCCACCCTCAAGAAACCCATAAGGGTCGCAAGAACTGCCAATGACATGCAGAAGCACGGGGCACAAGGGAGAGGAACTAAGGGTGCAATTTAATCTTGACCGTCTTGAAGCTGTCCTCTCCACTGCTCGTGCAAACATCCCAACCTCCCACCCACAACTTGGTCGCAAGACCTCTTTAGACAAGACCGTGACGGTAGGTATCCGATGGCACTTGGCCGCGACACCGACGCCGACGACGACGGCGCCGCCGACACCGACGACGACGAACACCGACGACGTCTCCAAAGAATTCGACGACGACAGCGACCACGACGACGACGACACCGACGCCGACGACGACGACGACGATGACAACGACGACGACGATGACGACGCCGACGACGACGATAACGACGACACCGACGACGCCGACGACGTCAACGACGCCGACGACGACGACGACGACGACGACGACGACGACGGCGGCGACGACGACGACGCCGACGTCGACGACGACGAAGACGACAACGACGCCGACGCCGACGACGAAGACGAAGACGACGACGACGTCGCGACGACGACGGCGACAACGACGACAACGACGAGGGAGGAGGGAGGACGGCGACGACGCGAACGACGAAGAAGGAGGAAGGACGGCGACGCCGACGACGGCAACGACGAGGGAGGAGGGAAGACGACGACGACGACGACGACGACGACGACGACGACGCGACGAAATAGCAGGGACGACGACGACACGCCGACGACGGACGACGACGACGACGAGGGAGGAGGAGGAAGGACGACCACGGCGACAACGACGACGGAAACGACCACGACGCCAAAGAGGACGACGACGTCAACACGAGGAAAGACAGAGGACGACGTAGGCGACGACGACGACGATGACGACGACGACGACGACGCGGGAGGAGGGAGGACAGCGACGACAACGACGACGACGCAAGAGCGCGCGCGCACGCTTTTGTTGAAAATCCGTGTTGCGAAACCTTAGGTTTTTGTAGGTTTTTTTGGACGCGCGATTTTGAAATCCTCCCGAAACCGATGGGTTTTGAAGGTTTTCGGCATACGCGCGCGACGACGCGCGCGTCTGCACTTCGTCCCGTTTTTTGTAGAGGATTCTCGCGACGGCACACGCGCAAGGGCGTTCGACAGATTTCGACATGAGCGCGCGCGAAGCCCGTTTGGTAGCATGTTGTTAAAATATTGAACAACCTATGGTTTTCTTAAGATTTCGCAAGAGCTCGAGCGGAAGCTTTCTTAGCAACTCAGTGTTGCGAAACCCTATGTTTTTGTTTGTGTTTTGGAAACTCGATTGCGAAATCCTTCCGGCACCGAAGGTTTTTGAAGGACTTCGGCATATGCGCGCGACGACGCGCGCGCGTGCATTTCGTCCCCTTTGTTGCAAAGGATTCGCGAAAAGTGTTCTGTTAGAGCAAAAAATGCCTCCGCATAGTTTTTTATATTATTATTATTTTTAAACAAAAAATACATAAAAAAGAAGGAACCTCCGGGGGGGGAACCCGGCCTGGGATGGTACGATTTCATATTTAGGATGGACGAGTGGTCAGAATCAAATATGATTTATACCCCCGAAAGGGGAACCGAATCGAAAACGGGGGAATCAAAAGGGGGCGCGGCCCCCACTGTCCACCCATGGGGGGCAGAGAGAACGGGCGGAGGAAGAGGGGGGGGCCCTTTCCGAGCGGCGGCAGCGAGACAGAGCGACCGATGCGCGTCCAAATGTTTGGGGCGACGGCGAGACACAACCGCGCCTTGACCTGGAAGTCCCCGGGGGCCCACCCGCCCGACGGGCGTCGTGGGCCGCGGGGAAACCGCCTATTAGAACACGCCCCAGTAGGTCGGGCGACCTCCCCCAGTGTGGCCCCAGGAAACAAAGCGGGAACAGCCGATCGTCACTTTCTAACTGCTCAATCCAAGATGCCTGTCGACCACCGCGGGAAAAGATGCCGACGCGGCCGTTCAGGCACGCGCGACAATGCCGATGGTCGTCGTCAGCAGACTCCTCCGCGCGTCCAAAGGCGCAGCCTAGCAGAATGGTGCGCAGAGGGCGCCTGTCGCAAGGTGCATGGCACTGTCTTTCTCTACTCGCCGCGTCCTCCCGGCCAGCGCCTGGAAATCTGCGACCGACAAACGGTCGGGCCCCGCCCGTTTGAATGTTCCCTGGGCCAAGGCTCGGAGAGGCACCGTGGGGCCGCGGAGGGCTTTCAACCGCTTCAAGGACTTGTTGTTTGAAGCTGCTTTCTGGGAATGGGTGTGAGGCTCCGAGAAGTTACCCACTTCGTCCGCCGTCGTCACGGTCCAAGACTGTCTCCATCAAGCCCAGCTGGCCCGCGCGGCGATGTACTCATCGTCTCCCAGAGCAGCCGATGAAGCCTCAATCTCAGACTGGATATCGCCTGGACTTGAAAAAACACCTGGGCCCGAAACTTGATAACCTCGGGTGGGAATCAATGCCCAAAACCTCCAGGGAAGCCCCCAATGCTTTTAGTCAAATCAGCATCTCTTGAGATCGCCTGCAACGCTTCGTGATGATATTCCCAGAAAAGCTTCGTCGCAGGCCACAACTGAAGCGGGCGTGCCTAGATCGACATGCAGCGGGGGTGGAAGAGTCGGATCGTCTGCGGGGGCCCAAGCCCCAGCCCTCGGAGCTTCCGAACAATCATCCAGAATTCCGGGATCGCGCTATTCCAAGCTTTCGATGGCGCGCTGGGCCCCAGCCAGAATCCAAGGTGCAGAACAGCATGGGCAAACCCAATGACTTGGACACAACTGTCCTTCCGCCGCATGTGATTAGTGAGTTGCTCTCATTTGGCTTCAGCGCCCCCGCGGCGAGGACCGCGCGCCCGGGTAGGATTCGACCAAGACCGACCGCCCTGTCGATGGAGGGCAGCTGCTACAAGGCAGGTCGAAGACCACTGAGGATGTTGGAGAGAAAGAAGTAATTGTTGTCGGCGTAGGCCCGCATTCGCGGGATGTGCCCCGTCAGCTTCGCTTTCGCCCATCTCGAGACAAGATCCGGAGCGCGCGCAGAAAGTAATATCGAAACAGGGCCCCTCCGCCGCCGAGCCCCTCGCGCAACAGCGAACGCCCATGGCGACGCGCTGGGGAAGTTAATCGCTGCAGCATTGCCCCCAGACGCGCCCTCGTAGAAACCGCAGACCTCATCTGGGGGGCGCGTCGCTGAGCGAACTGCCAGGAGCCGCGCTAATCAATGAAGGGTAGGCGGACGTGAAGTCAATGGCGGGGACCCCTGGGCTGCCCCCACCAATCGACATCTGGCGGATCCCCTGCCATTCGATCTCGACGACGTCGTCCGACGGCCCCCCCCGGCCCCCTCGCCGGCCCGGGTCGATCGTGCCCCGCGAAGCCCCCTGCAAACCAATCGAAAATGCATCCGTCGCCCAGAGGTTTCGCATCCGCGCTCGCTGGAGTCAGGGGTCGAATCTTACCGGGGGCGCGAACCAGCTCCGCAGGGCTCTCGTCTCCCATCGGGTCTTTCGGTGGAAAACGCACGCGGCCCCTCCTCGCGCTCGCGGAAACCGCCCCATCCAGAAACATCATGCAAGTCAGAGCACACTGCGCTCGCACTGTCGGCAGCTCCTCCCGCATTCAAACGCCCGCGCGACATCCCGCCCCCCCCCCGATCGCGCCCCCGCCCCCCCAGGGGCTGAGCGATGTTCACGGCGAAGCCCTTCAGAAGAAGAGCCGGCGCCCTCTCGCCGAGAGGCAGCCTCATGATGAATGACCCGCAAGTGATCCAGGATGTCAGGCCAGGGAGAACGGTCGGGGCCCTGACGCGCTAAAACTTGCCCCCAGTGCGCTTGGAGGGCAGCAGGCGACGCATCGGGGGGCGGGCGAGCAGCCGACGCATCGAGCGATATGGGGCACAGGGTTCCAGGAAGACCATATCGCCTGCGCATCTGATCCTAAACTCACCGCAGATCCGTGCCAACCTCTTGCTCTTCGGCTGGCCCGCCCCACCCCGGCCCGCCCAAATCCCGCTCCGCCATCTCTCGCCGAAAATCCTGCGACGCCTGCGCCGGGGTCCTCGAGCTGGCGTCGCCCGAGCCGCGTTCGCTCCCCCAGGTTCAACGTGCCGAAGCAGCCGGGGGCGGGCCCTCGTAGCCTGACGCGCGGCGAGAAGGTCCCAGTGCGCCGTCCTCTATAAGCCGCCAGAGCAAATCGCAACCTCTCACGCTGGGATTTCGGGCGCCCGAAGACGCATGCGAGACTCGATCGACCCCCGGGATCGCACTGCAGAAGAGCCCGCGGCGCAACTCGGGCTGGGGAATCCATTTGGAAAGGCGAGGCGGCGGGGGCCCTGGTCGAGATGGGGGCGACAACAATGACATGGTCAGATGGCGCCCAGGTCTCAACGGCATGCCCGACGGCGTTGACTGCGACCAGGGTATCATTCAGAACGGGAGCAGAGAGAGAGGTGCATGCACGATTAAGACGAGCCGTGCAGCGCGGCGCGCATGCAAATCCTGGTAGGATCAGGTTGGTGCAACTCTGCCCGAGACCCACTTTCCGATGCGAAAGCATCTGTCTGCTGGCGATCCCAAGTTAACCGCGCCCCGTCCGCCCCAGGCCCGCCGCCGCCGAAAAGCCCCGCGGATTTCCAATCCCCTGCCGTGGCGCACGTCACGCCAGCAGCGGGTGGAATAATGACCTGAATCAGTCCTCGGCACCTGCGATGCATCCCGACAGGGTCCGAGGTGGTGGGCGCGCGAACACTCCGAACCATGCGGCCGCCATTCCCCCCCTTCAGGTGCGATGCCAAAATCCGCCCAGGGGCGCCCGCTTGCGAAGTAAAGGTTTAAGCGGCGCCATCAACTAAGTGGGCGCCACCGCGACAACTCCCGCGCCAGCAGACGGGTCAATCATAGAGTCATGTACAGCATCGTTCCGGCATCGAATCGTTCACCCCGCCCGAGCACCTCGCAGTCTGCGCGCGTGCCATGCGTCTCCTGTCAACGCATCGCGTCAAACTTGCCGACGAACTGGGGCGCCCGCGCATGCCGCGCGCCCGCAAGCGGTGATGACGTAGCATATGGAAAGAAAAGGCGAGGGCATTCCAGGCGCAGACAGAGAGGGAGAGAGAGAGAGAGAGAGAGAGAGAGAGAGAGAGACAGAGAGAGGGAGAGAGAGAGAGAGAGAGAGAGAGAGAGATAGAGAGAGAGGGAGAGAGAGAGAGAGAGAGAGAAAAAAAGAGAAAGAGAGAGAGAGAGAGGGGGAGAGAGAGAGGGGGAAACAAATAGAAAACATAAAACATAAAAAGACAAGAAAGAAAAATAACAAAAAAAAATAATTGAGAGAGAAAGCCCCGTTCGCTCCCGCGGCCCGCGGCGGGGCCACAAGGGGTGGGCCCAGCCCGAATTCAACTCAAAACTGCGGCTGGCTGGCTGAGCCCCGCTCTGGCATGCAAAGGTCGCGCAAGTCCTGGGCCCCGCCCCAGACAGCCCTCCGGCCGACGGGGGGCCAGGGCCCCGAAGAAAACTACAGACCAGACCAGTCGCCCGAGGTCCCAAGGCAGGAAACTCCAGGACAGCTCGGCCCTTCATGCGAAGGGATGAATTAGGTCCAAGAGCATCTGAATGCAGCCCGCATTGGCCTCCTTGCCATAACTACTCACGCCGTTAGGATCAAGCAGGGGACCGGGTCCACCATTCCCAGAGATCTTGACCTTCGCCGACACAACTGGGTTCACAGCGGAATGGAGACCATACGCCTGCCCTCCAGCACCGTTGCCCCCGACCGTAAACTCCCCCAAACTTTGCCGATGATGACCCCGGTCTGTCCAAGGTAATAGAAAACTTCCCGACTGGCAGGGGGAGCACGACGAACCCGAGGATCCCCACCAAGACCGTCGATGGGGTTCTGGCACGCGGTCTCCCCGATGCCCCAGCGCTTCCCGAAGAATGCGGGACGCGCGAGAGCGGATGGGAAATCGAGGATCGCATTCCCTGTCTACGAGTGCGCGTGCACGATCGGTTCTTCTCCCGTGGAACTGCGCTGTGCAATGACTCAGCGAGGCCTCGAGGAGTGGCTTCTCCAATCCGAGAACGATGAGACCAGCGGCGCTGGCCTGGTCTGGTCCTGAAGTCTTCAGAATCCTACGACGACCCCCCTCTTCACCTGCTCCCGCGATCTCGGAATTCTAATCGGCGCGAGTCCATGATCCTGACGATAGCACCCCCTTTGCGTCATTCAACTGCGACTTCATACCCTCAGACACGGACGCGAACTTAGCATATGTGTCGGTCACTACCTGGTGGATCGCCTGGTCTTGAACGCGCTTGATATCGGCGAGACGTTATTCTTGACGTTCTGCCGGTCTCGCACATTCATCCTGCATGCGGTCGAAGTTAATACCAAAATCAACATTCGGCCCTTACGCAATTCAAACTCAGCCGCGTGAGAGGTGAAGCCCTGCCGAACGATATCCTGGAGGCTCGCAATCTGGGTCGAAAGCACGTGGGTGTCCCACAAAGTACCTGCGGGCCGCTGGGCGGAGGAGATGATTGGCTGGACACCTCCAACCATGGCGGGAGAGCGGGGCGGCAGGAGAGCGGCGCCCGCGGCGGGCCGCAGGAAGGCGGGAGCAGGAAGACCCTGAGGAGCGGGTCGGGGGGAGCACCCAAGCCGAACGGGTCGCGCAGACCACCCTGCACCGATACGGCTTGAGCCAAACTGCAACATGGATACGGATGGCGAGCGGATGAGGAGCGGAGGAGGAGGAGAGGAGCGCAGGAGGAAAGGAGGAGGAAGTACATGATGAAGATCCCCGCCGCTCCTTGGAACCCTCCATGCGGCCGTTGGTTTTCATCCACCCAGGGGGGCTCCACGGTACACCCAGCAGGTGCATCTCCTGGGGCGGGGAGGCGAAGGGGAGGGGGAGAGGAGGGAGGGAGGGAGCGGGACGACCAGGAAGGTGAGAAGGAGGTTTAGTGGGAGGGATCTTCTGAAACAGGAGGGGAGATTAGCAGAGGGACGACGACGAAGAGGAGGCTGGCTGGACGAGGAGAGGAGGAGGGGTCAGAGCAGGAGGGGGAGGAGGACCGCTATTAAACACAGGATGCATCAACGGTGGTGCAATACAACCTCGGGCGGCCTCCCCACAAGACCGTGCAAATACTCTTGCCACCGCAGCGAGCGCCCACCCGAGGGACGGCCGCTCCATTGGGCCTGCCACTCGCGACGAGGGCCCCATTCTACGATGGAGCTGTCTTCCATCCGTTCAGCTACCACGATTGCGAAGGGTACGGCCAGACCTAAGATAGGACAACATCCTTCGAGAACATGAGACGCCCAGCCGGCCAGACTGGGGGTACCCTCCCCAGGGGTGCACAAGAACATCCAATCAACACGAAGAACGCTAAGGTACCCTCCCCGAAACGACCTCGATCTTATACCTCGGTCCGGCCGTGGGTTGATCAAGTTCAAGGTACTCAAAAATGGAATTACAAATGGCACAAACATGACTCAGAGGTCCGCGTGGACTCGATCCGAGAAATTGCGTGGACCTCCGAATTGTTATGTTTACATCATTGCGTGTTCCCCGAGAAATGCCCAACAGCATCCCGTTGCAAAAAAGGAGCCACGCTACATCCGATCGGCTGTTGCACAAAGTTAGCATTATGGTCATGAGCATGGGTAAAACCTTACGCGAGAGCCCCGCTATCAACATGAACCCCTCATATCAACTTCTGGGAAGGAAACATTGAATCATCTCCACTGCTAGCCCCACTTTGAAAAGGAACCGCCCAGCATCTGCGCAGATGTTGGACATGTTACTAAGAAATAAATGGCGCTAGAACCAGAGCTCCATTTAGAAAGACGACTCCCCTCCGGCTGCGCACCTGGTGGAAACTTGTCCGCCGATCCCCGGCAAGCGGGGGGCGAAAAGGCGTGCGGGACGTTTGGCTGTCCCCCTCCCCCATTCCCCCCCTCCCCAAGGGTTCAGAGTCCTGTTTAAGGAGGGGAAGAGGAGTGGGTGGGTGGGTGGGGGTAGGTGGGCGCGAGGGGGTGCGAGGACGCGGCGAGAGGGCCGAGGCTCCAGGATCGGTTTTGGCGTTTCGAGGAGGAGGAGGTGGAGGAGGAGGGGGAGGAGGAGGTGGAGGAGAAGTAGGAGGAGCAGGACCCCATTTAGGGTACGAACTCGTCAACGCACCCCGAGGGCCCTCCAGAGCCTCCAACCGAGCACCAGTGGCGCAAGAGGGCCCAGGCAGAGCACTGCCGCAGTCCCAAGAGAGCGTCGAATCGGCCCCAGGGTAGCCCATCGACAGCCCAGGTGCACGGTTTCCCCCGGGGCCGTAGGCGACCCGACGAGGAGGCGGAGGAGGAGGAAGAGGAGGAGGAGGAGGAAGAGGAGGAGGGGGAGGAGGAGGAGGAGGAGGAGGAGGAGGAGGAGGAGGAGGAGGAGGAGGAGGAGGACGGGTCGCCTAAGTCCTTCGGAGAAACCCCTCGAGTCCAGGATGGCTTCAAAACAGCCCTCGAAGCCCCCAAGACGGCCCAAGAGTGCCCCCAGAAGACTGCCGAGAGGGCTACAATACGCAAACATCGTCCCGTTCTTTGCAGGAAACTCGCATGTTCGACATGCCCGCTTCTTTCGTCTCGACAGCGTCCGGCGCGGCCCAAGGTACCCCGAAGATCATGCCAAAACGGCCCACGAGGCCCTCAAGAGAGCCCGAAGACTGTCCAAGACAGACCCAAGACTGGCCAAGAGGACCCCAAGACGGCCCCAGCGGCCCCTGAGACGCCCACGAAGGCCCCGAGAACGGCCCAAGAGGAGCAATGCCAACTGACATCTCGGAGCCTTTCCCCCGTCAAAGCCCACCAGAGACTCCCGAGGCGGCCCCGATAGGGCCGCAATCGACTTCCAAATGTGACAGAAGAGGTCCCAAAGAGGCCTCCCAGATGCCCTGAAGGGGCCACCCAAAAGCCAACCAGCTACCCTCAAAAGCCTTCTAAAAGGCCCCTGGACAAAAACACACATTCCAAGAGACCCTCAGATTTGCGAGTGAGAAGTTTGACGAGGTTTATCCGTCTAGTGACTGTAACTCGTGTAGGCCGCGGTGGAGGCGTGGCTCGTTCGCTCTAGCTGCCCACTCACGCCACGGCCGTTCAATATGCCCGAAGGCCGCGTGCACTCCCGAACGCTCGCGCTCGGCCGCGCCGCGGGCGGCTGAACGCTCGCGCTCGGTAGACATGCAGACCCGCGCCGTCGGAGCCTGGAGCGCTCGCGCCCGGTAGAACTTCCTGGCTGGAACCCAAGCCGCGCGCGGCTGGGACGCTCGCACGCCGGGGGCGGCTGGAAAGCTCGCACGAGATGCTAAACTTTCTATTGTTCGGAACCGAGTTCGAGCCTGGTCCGAACCTGCTTTCCGAGGAAGTCTCGCACGAACCGCCCACTTGTCTATCGTCTGGAGCCGACTGCAGACCTGGTTCGAACCTGCTTTTCGTAGAGGTCCCGCGCGAAATGCCAACTTCTCTATTGTTTGGAACCGAATTTGGAACCTGGTTCGAACCTGCTTTTCGCGAAAGTCCCGCACGACACGCCCACTTTTCCATTGTTTGGGACCGACCTCTATCGTTTGGAACCAATGTTTGGAACCTGGCTCGAGCCTTTTTTGGAAGAACAAGCTCCACGCGGTTCGCCGTTTTGTAACCGCCATCCCATTGAGCCTGATAGGATTTTAAATGGGAGTGCAAGCCTGCAGCTGCCCGCGCCTCGCTGGCACAACTCCACTCCCGTCACACTGCACCCGGCTCCGCGCGCACAGCGGGACACCTCCGATCCACGCTGCACCAGCGTGTCAAAACATTGGCGACCTTTTTTATCACGGCACACTAAGTCGTGGGAGGGTGGGGACAGACCAAAGGCGGGGGGGTGCTAGCATTTGATTCGCGCCTCGCTCCCAAACGGGATTAGTCCGCGATCGTCTGTCGTTCCTTCGGTCCTCATGTGTGGTCGTCTTGGTTGGCCGGTCGGTCGGTCGGTCGGTCGGTCGGTCGATCGGTCGTCGTCGGTCGTTGTCGTTTCAATCGGTCGGTCTGTCGGTCATTGTCGGTCAAGTCGTCGGTCATCGGTCGGTCGGTCGTCATCGGTCGTCGTCGTCGTCGTCTCGGTCGTCGATCGTCGGTCTTCGGTCGGAAAGCGCGCCACTGGAGCCAAAGCGGCTACGGATGCAATGAGGTTGAGAACCTGACGTCGGGCGCAAAACCTGCCCGATATGAGATGCTTATACAAATTCCACTACCAACAATAGTCCACTGACTGCTAGAGGCTCTTCCGCAAAGCTCCCCGCCAGCCCCACAAGCCCACCAGCAGCAGACATAAGGCTCCCCAGAGCCTCCACCAGAGGCTTCTCACAGCCCTCAAGCAGCCACGTGACAAACCCCAACAGCCGCCCTTGCACCCTTAAATGCCTTCCTTCCTCCATCCACCCGCCTCCTTTCCACCTCCGCTCCTCCTCCTAGTCCTCCTCCACCCTCGCTAGCGTGAACAAAAACACCCAGCCACTCCAGCTCCAACATAGCCTACCGAACGCCCTGGACGTCTCTGCTCTGATGGGGGCCAGCAGAATGGCGTAAGCCACTTAGAAAAAAGAGTGGACAGCGATGCTGCGAGAGCTAACGTTTCAAAAGAAGCCGCGGCACCCTTCTTCCGCGCAAGTGTTGGAATATGATGAAGCGAATGCGCGCGGCGCTAATGCGAACACTGCAGATTGAAAACGACACCCACTCCATCCGCGTGACAGCTGAAAACCTTGAAAACGAGAATGCGCGCCGCCAAGGAGAAAGCCACATCTTGACCCCCCCCTTCATCCGTGTAGCTGTTGGAAAGTTCAAGCGCTGGGTCACAAGCGGGGGGGGGTCACAAGCGGGGGGGGTAGTCTCTGGGATGCACCCAGTCCGCCCTACCGACACGTCTGGTGGTAGACGATGAGTTGCCTGTGAGGAAACAGCATGGAAGCACGCGAAGAAGAACATCTCCTGCTCCGTGTCCGCCAGCTTCTTCTGGGCCTCGAGGATCATCGGGATGATGCTTTTGACCTTGCGGATCAGAACCCTCCCTTCTGCGGCTCCTCCTCCTCCTCCTCCTCCTTTTTGCGCTGGGCACACTCAAGCTGCTTGGCTGGAGCGTTCGTGCGTGAAGAAGGGAATCATGTGGCCATCGTGGGCGAAGCGAACAACGAATCAGCTGCGGACAAATTCGCCGGCCCAACGGGCCAGAGGCGTGCTAAGATCTCCGGTAACTACTTAACAATATTTCTAGTTCGCGCGCGCGGGGAGGCCCCTGGGGGGCCCCGGACGAAAAGTACCCCGGCCGATCCCCGGCTGGGTCCCGGGCGATCCCCAGGGGGGAGGCTTCGTGGCCTTCGAGGGGGGGGCTGCAATCGACTACCCCCCCCCGACCCCATGGGGCCCCCAAGAGCCCCCCAAGAGGCCCCAGGGGGGCCCAATGCGCCGCCAAGGAGCCCCAAGACACTCCCAAGAAGCCCCCAAGAAGCCCCCAAGACGGCCCCAGGAGGCCCCAAATAGCGCTCCAGGGCCGGCGGAATGAGCGAAGCGATTAAATAATCCCACCAGCCCTCTGGGCGACAGATGGTCTAACGAGGGTCTCTTTCCTCTTCCACGACCCCTCTTTCCTTGGGGGAGGGGAGCCCTCCCCCTCCCCTTCCTGCTTTTTTGGGGGAGGGGGCCCGATGTGTCAGAGGGTCCTTTTTTCGGCCCCTGGGAGAGGGTAATGCAAGGAGAAGCTGAAAAGAATAGTGGCCCAGCAGGGCATATGGTGACCCATCCCGTCGCGCGCCGCCGATCGGGCCAAGAGCGGCCCATCGAACCTCGGAAGAGGAGGAGGAGGAGGAGGAGGAGGAGGAGGAGGAGGAGGAGAAGGAGGAGGAGGAGGAGGAGGAGGAGGAGGGGGGGAGGGAGCGAGGAGGAGGAAGGGGGGGAGGGAGGGAGGAGGAGTAGGAGGGGAAGGAAGGAGGAGGGAGGGAGGGAGGGAGGACGGAAGGAAGAGGAGGGAGGGAGGGAGGGAGGGAGGAGGGGAGGGAGGGAGGGACGGGAGGGAGGGGGGAGGGGGAGGGAGGAGGAGGAGGAGGAGGAGGAGGAGGGGAGGAGGAGAGGAGGAGGAGGAGGAGAGAGAAGAGAAGGAGGAGGAGGGAGGAGGGAGGGAGGGAGGGAGGGAGGGAGGGAGGAGGAGGAGGAGAGAGGAGGAGGAGGAGGAGGAGGAGGAGGAGGAGGAGGAGGAGGAGGAGGAGGAGGAGGAGGGAAGAGGAGGAAGTCCTCGTGCAATCGGCCCCTGGATACCGCCCCGGGGCCCCGAGGCACGGACCCGCTCCGCGCCCCTCGAGCGCCCCGGCCGAGATAGCATCCCGGCGCCTGCCCTGATCGGAGCGTCGGGTCGGCCAGGTCGGCGGTACTCCTTTCTCTTCCTTTTCATTATCCTCCTCCGCCTCCTCCTCCCCTTTCCTTCCTCCTGCTCCTCCTTCTCCCTCCTCCTCATCGTCCTCCTCCTTCCTCTTCCTCTTCCTCCTTCCTCCTTCCTCCTCCTCCTCCTCTCGCTCCTCCTCCTCTCCTCTCCTTCTCCATCCTTTCCTTTTTCCTCCTCTCCCTCCTCCCTCCCTTCTTCCTCCTCCCTTCTCCTCCTCTCCTCCTCCTCCTCCTCTTCTCTTTCCTCCTCTTCCTTCTCCCTCCTCCTCCTCCTCCTCCTCCTCCTCCTCCTCCTCCTCCTCCTCCTCCTCCTCCTCCTCCTCTTCCTTCGAAAGAGAACGGCTGCCCCTCCTCTGTGTTCCACTGCTGCTGCACTTCCCCTTATCAGGGCAGCCACTCCTTGGCGTCGCCTCTGGATAGGCTGGCGGGGGCACGCGAAGCGTCAAGATCAGCCCGACCCGGATCGACCGACGGATTGGCCTGGTCAGCGGCCCGGTCGAGCTCCGCATCGGTGGATCCGCGCAAGGGGGTGGCGCCAGGGGGGTAGCCTCCTTAGAGGGCGGCGCGCTTCTCGGAAGGCAAGGGCCTTCCTAGAAGGGCACCTGAGGCATCCAAGACGGCTGCTTTGAAGCCGGGAGGGCTTCTGACCCAGACCCCCGAGGCCACGAGGTCGTGCTTATTTTCACGGCGTCGACCCCCAGAGGTCTGGACCCCCTTCCCCAGGACCGGCTTTTCACCCTCAATCGCTGTTTCACGGTCTCGAGGCCCGGCGAGGGCTCCCAGATGCCGAAAGCAGTAAAAAACCTCCCGTCCTGTTTTTTTCACAATGCGAAGGCAGGGGCCTTCTCAGAGGGGCCCAGAGGCTTCTCAGAAGGCTCCTTAGAAGCCGGAAGGGCTTCTGAGAACCCTGAGATCTCACGCTGTGCAATTTTTCGAGCCGCATCGATATTTGAGGGCCCCGTGGCCGAAACTGAGCGACAAATCGCTCGGCTAGAAAACAAATGAAACCACAAGGATCTCAGGGAAAGCTCCGGATCCTGGCGATTCCTCCTCCTTCTCCTCCTCCTCTGCCCTCCTCCTCCTCCTCCTCCCTCCTCCCTCCTCCTCCTCCTCCTCCTCCTCCTCCTCCTCCTCCTCCTCCTCCTCCGTCCTCCTTCTCCTCCTCCTCCTCCTCCTCCTCCTCCTTCCCGAGAACAATGTCCTGGCATGCTTCAGGGGCTTCAAACGGTTGTCTTCCAACAAGGCAATTCCATCAGTGGAAATGAACCATTGTAGGGGCCTGTGAAGAGGGAGCTTGGAGGGAAGGTTCATTCCAACATCAATGATGACTCTTGAGTTTACACTGGTCCTCCTCCTCTTCCTTCCTCCTCGTCGTCGTCCTCCTCCTCCACCTCCTCCTCATCCTCGCGCGCGCGAAGGGATCCCGGGCGTGCCCTGTACGGTCGGACCTGGGACAGGAAAACATCCTTCGAGAACATGAGGCCCTCCGCCGGCCGAAACACCCCAGACCATAAGATCACTCGAGTGCGCTCCCCCCCCAGGACGCACAAGAACAAGAACATAAGATCACTCGAGTGCGCTCCCCCAAGATCACTCGAGTGCGCTCCCCCCCCAGACCATAAGATCACTCGAGTGCGCTCCCCCCCAGACCATAAGATCACTCGAGTGCGCTCCCCCCCGGGACGCACTAGAACGTCCCACAAACACGAAGAGCATGAGGGCACCCTCCCCGGACCGACCTCTATCTTGTACCTCGGGCCGACGGCAAAGTGCTGGGCAGGGTGAGAAACGCATGCTCGTGTTCGGGTGCTCGCGGACGCTTCGTCAGCGGCTCGGAAGGAGCTGCTCGCGAACTCCAGGGCCCCCGAAGGGCCTTGTCCAAGACGTGTGAAGCCCGATCTCACTGGAATCATCGAAGGAGAACAAGCGGTATAGGCAGAAACCGTCGGCGATCCACGCGGACTTCTTGGATCGGCGCTGGGCCCCCCTGGCGGCGCCTCCAACGCCGAGGGGTGGGGGTGGTCCAGCGCAGATCCAAGAAGTCCGCGCGGAACTTCGAACATGTATGTCTTAAGTTGTCTTGTTCTCGAGGGATCAGAGCCTCCTCAGTCCTGGGCGTCGTGGCTCACATCGTGATCAAACTGCTCCAGATCCGTGTCATTCGCCGCGTCGTCGAAGCTGTAGGTCTCGTTGGAGAAGTCGTTGCTGTTTATGGGCACCTTCCCGAGCGTGTAGCCAATCCCTGTCTCCCCGAAGTACGCCTCCAGGATGGCATCCTGCAAATCCTCGTCCAGACTTTTGAACAGTTCGCTAGCGGCATCGGTGAATGTGCCTCCGAAACCCTCGATGGTCTGGCCCTCGTGCTGCGAGAAGCTGACGGTAAGGCCGTCAGCCGAGAGGACGCTCTCCGTCTGGTCCTCGAAGTAGAGGTCGGGCCGCTTGGTCATCCTCCCCCCAATTCCCTCTTACGTGGGGGTCCAACATTATCCGCTCCTCCTCCTCCTCCTCCTCCTCCTTCTCTCCTCCTCCTCATCCTCCTCCTCCTCCTGCCTTCCTACCCGCCCTGCCTGCCATCCTGCATGCCCCCTGAGTTGCGACGCCACGAAATTGCTTCAGCAGAACAACCTGATAGCACAGAAGGTGAAGAGGCGGCTTCAGAAGTTGTCACCTTTCTACCGTAAGAAACGCTGAATAAAAAGCAAAGGGGCTTTTCTGGCCACGGCGAGCCTCGGCCAAGAATGGGTTCCCCGCCCTGGAAGTAGGGAATCGCCCGAAATCCACAGCCCCTCCCGAGCACAAAAAGGTCCTTATACCGGCGTCTCGACTGCAGGAGGTCGAGACACGGCCATGTGTACCTTCGCGTGTTTTCTACAACAACATCGTGGCCGTCTGGACCACACATGTACCCGGCATCTCCTGGACTGGGCGTCCTCGTTCTCCCCGTCCCCCTGTGGGACTCCTCTGTGGTTCTCTTTCACTATGACCAAAAACCTCTAGCGAAGCGTCCTCAAGAAACACTGCAACATCACGAAGATCACGACCTAAACCCTAGACCCCATCTTTCCGAAGCGTTATTCGAGCCGGATCGATCCAGGAGGGTCCCGGGGCTCGAAGGAAGGCATGATCGTCCGTTGCGAAAAGCATGTGACGTCAGCATCTCAGGGTCCTGCCCCCCCCCTCCCCGCGGCCATCGTGCCACCCCCTACCCCCCCACTCCTCCTCCTCCTCCTCCTCCTCCTCCTTCCTCCTCCTCCTCCTCCTCATCATCATCCACATCCACATCCACATCCACATCCACATCCACATCCACATCCACATCCACATCCACATCCACATCCACATCATCATCATCATCATCATCATCATCATCATCATCATCATCATCATCATCATCACCATCATCATCCTCTTCCCCCTCCTCCTCCTTCTCCCTCGGCACGATCTGACCAGAATCTCGACGAGAATCCGGCCGTGGCGGCGAGGGCCCTCCAAGATGAGCAGCGGCACCCATCGGTCGGAAGAAGAGGGTACAAAGATGGAGCAGGAAGGCGCTGCGAGTGGAGTGGGTTAGGCCGGGCATGTTCTCCTACAGAAAAATGGAAATAGTCAGAACATACTCAATAATAAAAATAACAACAACAATAATAATAATAATAATAATAATAGTAGTAATAATAATAATGATTACTATTACTCACTGCGCGGAGCTTCCCATCTGTACATCTATTAGCATGGACCTGTCCGCCGTGAGTGTCTAGGCGCAAGCGTGTCCGAATATTCATGGATTTAAGATTGACGGTCCGGGAGTGAATCGAACTGTGAATGAGTTGAAGTGTGAATCAGTCTCAGTAGTACGAGCGCGTCTCTGCGCATGAGCCTGGGGCCTCCTGGGGCCTCCTGAAACCTCCTGGGGCCTCACGGTGCCTCTTGGAGCCTCTTGGGGCCTCCTGTGGCCTCGTGGGGCCTCCTGTTTCCTCCTGAGGCGCCCCAGGAGAGGCCTAATCTATAGAAACAGACGTACATAAAACACTACGGATTGGAGCCGCAGGAGAAGGGCAATATATAGGAGCACACGTAAAACACGCAGGACTCGCGCCCCAGGGGAGGCCACATCTACAGAAACATACGTAAAGTACCAAGGATTCGTGCTCCAGGGGAACCACAATCTATAGGAGCAGACGTACAACACAAGGGATTGGAGCCACTCCTTTGGCCTTCTGATGCCTGCTGCTCCTCGGGACTCTTGGGGCCCCCTGGTGCCTTGTGGGGCCTCCTGGTGTCTGCTGGCGCTTCCTGTGGCCTCCTGTTGCTTCCTATGGCCTCCTGTGGCATCCTGGAGCATCCATCCTGAAGCCTCCTGGAGCCTTCTGGACCCTCTTGGGGCCTCCTGGGGCCTCCTGGAGCCTCCTGGGGCCTCCTGTAGCCTCCTGTGGCATCCTGATACCTCCTGTGGCCTCCTGGAGCCTCCTGTGGCCTCCTGTGGCATCCTGAAGAGGATCCGTGTCCACGAGTCTGGCCAGCAACATAAGCAAACCGCTCGAGACATCCTCAACTTCTAGCCTCAGATGGGGGCGAACATGGGTAACTCGCTCGAGACATCCTCCAAATCTGCTCCAAAGGACGAGGATGTCGAGCACCGAAACAGGCACCCCGCTCGAGACATCCCCGCCATTTTGGCGCGAACAGAAGAATGCAATACCCCCTGGCGGCTCCCCCTTGGGGGTGCTGAAATCCGCGCCTCGCTCGAGACATCCTCTAAGTCTGCTCCGGAAGCAAAAGATGCTGAGCACCCAAACAGGCAAACCGCTCGAGACATCCCCCCCAATCTGGGCGCGAACGGGCCCGTGCAATACCCCCTGGCGTCCCCCCTTGGGAGTGCTGAAACCAGCGCCTCGCCTGAGACATCCTCGGAATCTGCTCCGAAAGAAAAGGAAGTTGAGCACCCAAACAGGCAAACCGCCTGAGACATCCCCCCAATCTGGGCACGAACGGGCCCGTGCAATACTCCCTGGCGTCCCTCCCTTGGGAGTGCTGAAACCAACGCCTCGCCTGAGACATCACAACGTGTGTTTGAATCTGAGCGCGGAAGTGGTGTGGCTGAGTCTGAGTGAGGAAGAGCGAGGCAGAGTATGAGTGAGTCTTAGTGTGAGTGAGCCTGGGTGTGAGTGAGTCTGAGTATGAGCCTGAGTGAGTGTGAATGTGAGTGTGTGTGTGTGTGTGTTCCTGTGTCCCGCGCGGTCTAAGTAATGAGTATGAGTCTGAGTGAGTGTGAGTGTGAGTGTGAGTGTGTGTGAGTGACGTAAGTATGATTAACCTTGAATCGGAGAAGCGACTCGAAGTGCGAGCGAGTCTTTATACGAGTGTTCCCGAGCATGAGAAACCTGAGCATCAGTAATCTCAAAGCGAGTGCATCTGAGTATGAGTGAGTCTGAATATCAGTGAGTCGACATGTGAGTGGGTCAAATAAAGAATGAGGACCTGAGGGTGGGAGGTGTGTTCCTTCCTTCCTTCCTGTTCCTTGGTGTGTTCCGCGCGGCACAAGTAATAGCAATAACCCCTATCTTAGGATGTGGGGGACAACAATACGAATGATAAGACTATCACAAATGGTCCCCAGAGTATTGTTTGGATTATGTTTGAATATTCCTCATGTAAGAGGACACGCCCGACTTACGGATTGGATCTCCGCCCGCCCCCTGAAGACGAAAGAAGAGGGAACGCGCCCGATCTCTGAAACGGGAGGAAAGCTTAATGGGATCCGGGGATCCAAGAGCGCCCACTTCCAACGGCCAATGGGTATCGAAACGTAGCCTTCCCATTTTTCTTTGCACGCGAAGCGCACGAGTGGAGGAACAACAAGCCACATACAAGCATAAACGTTTGGAGGTCTCAGATCCGCGCCCGACCCCCCTCCCCGGCGCGCGGAGCGCGCCAGGGGCGGCGACGGAGGCACCGCCCAAGGAGCCCCTGCGCGGATGCAAGAAATCCGTGCGGAACGCCAGAAGTTTATGCTTGTGGCGTTTTCTCGATTTCGGGCGAGGCAAGTGGGGCCCGTGTGGATCGCGCGCTGCAGCGGGCCGCGCGCTGGCACGTGCCCCTGGCCGACGGCAAGCGCCCGGCAGCACCGCGAGGAGGAGGCACGGGGGGGGTCACGGAGGAGGGGGAGGAGGAGGAGGAGGAGGAGGAGGAGGAGGAGGAGGAGGAGGAGGAGGAGGAGGAGGAGGAGGAGGAGGAGGAGGAGGAGGAGGGGGGTTCACGGGGGAAGTGAGAGGCAAGGGGGGTCACGGGGAGGTGAGAGGGGGAGGCAGGGGGGGTCACGGGGAAGTGAGAAGGAAGCGGGCCTTCTCAGAAGGCTCGGAAGCCCCCCCGGCCTTCCGAGAAATCTTCGAAGCTTTGCCCAGGGAACACAGAAAGCCTCCCAGAAGGCCCGAGGGCGTCTGAGAAGCCCCGCCGCCTTTTTGAGAAGGCCCTCTCCTTCTCACTTCCTCCCCTCGCTCGCCGCCGAGGGGAGGGAGGGGAGAAGGGGAGGCGAGAAGGCCCCCCCCCTTCAACGCCGCATCGATCGTTCCACCTGGAATGGATCGCGGCCCCGATCGTGCAGAGTTGAATTCCGTCGGGCCCATCGGCGTTCAGAGTGTCCCTCGGTTACTTTGCCGCGTCGCAGGATTTCACCTTGAGCGCCTTCGCCGGCGTCGCTGGCGCGCCGACGCCGCACGAACCTACCGTGACGTACCTTTTCCTCCTCTGAGCCCGCGTGGCCCCCCGCCCTCCTGTAAAGAGGCGCCCAGGAGGCCCCAGGAGGCACCCAAGAGGCCCCCTAAGAGGCCCCCGAACGGCTCCCAAAGGGCCTCCAAACTGCCTCCAAGAAACCCCCGAGAAGCCTCCCATGAGATCCCGACGAACATCCAATAGGCTTCGTGACCCACAACCCAGGCACGGTGGCGGAAAGGGCCGAAGGCCACTCGATTCTTGGGCCTACGCCACACCGCCCACCCCTTGGGGAACTGGCGGCTGTGGCGTGCTGCTCCTGAGGGCCTCTTGGGCGCCTTTTCCGGGCTTCTCGGTGCCCGTTCGGGCGCTTCATGGGCGCCCATAGGGTGGCCCCTTGGAGCTTCGTGGCGGCTTCTTTGGGGGCCTTGGGGGGCTGAGGGCTCGAAAGGCGGGCTCGGGTTTTCCCCGTCGGGGCCCTCCTTGCGGCGGTCTAGGGCCTCGGGGCTCTTTCGGGCCATGGCGGGACGGGCCGAAGGCCCTTCCCTGAGACCCGACGCTGCGAAGAAACTGCAACCCCGCGAAAATCCACGCACGGAGCCCCGGACCCCATCTTTCCGCATGACTGCTCGAGCCGAATCGATCCGTGAGAGTCCTGGGGCCCGAGCCTGGGCGAAAACGCCCGTTGTGAGACAATTGCCACGCCAGGATCTCAGGGTCAGATGCCTTCTCCTCCTGCGAGCCCGCGTGCGCCCCCGCCCTCGAGGACCTTCCTGCGCGATCCAGGGGCTCTTCTGGGCCATGGCGGGATGGGCCGAAGGCCATTTGGCCGTTAGATTCGAGCGGGGGATCGACTACAGCATTGATTTGACCAAGCACGGTTTCTCAGTCGAGTTTCAAAGGGTCCTGGGGCCCGGACCTAGGCGAAAACGTAAAACAAATTGCAACGCCGGGATCTCAAGCCCAGGCCCCCGACGTCGTGATTTTTTCACAACGTGGACCTCCTGAGGTCTGGACACCTTCCCTGGGACCCGTTTTTCATCCTGGGTCATTCTTGACAGTCCCGATGGGGCCCCCGGAGGCCGAACATAGCCGAACATAGTGATTATGTTCCCAACGCGAGGGGGTCTGGGTGGTCAGCTACCTTCTCCTCCTCCGAGCCCGCGTGCGCCCCCGCCCTCGCCCTCCTGTACAGCGGGTCGGGCGTGGTCAGCCACACGCTCGCCCGGCGGTCCTCCTCCGCGAGGACCCACTGCGTGCTCCGCGGGTTGGCGCTCTGGACCTCGTCGTCCCCGGTCGTCCGCGGCTCCTCCGCGCATGACTCGAGCAGGGGGCCGTCTACAGAGTTGATCTATACCCCTAAATGAATTTTCTCGTCGAATCCAGAAAAACTTCTCGCTGTTTTCGGCCTTCGGAGGCCCTCGCCAGGGCCCGGGACCATAACACAACGACTCAGGAGGAGAAGCCGGTCCAGGGGAGAGGGTCGGGACTGCTGGGGGCGCCGCACTGAACAACATCAGGACGTCGCATGTCTTGGAGAGCTCCTTTCCCCTTCTGGTAAGGCTTCGAGGCTGGGGTTATGTTCGAGTAGGGGGTCGTCTACAGAATTGGTTTACCCCAAAGTAAGTTCCCTCATCGAATCTAAGGAAAATGCCTCGAATTCTCGGTCGATGTGCGAACATTCCATGCATTTGTCGCCGATTCGACGGGCAAATGAATTTCTGGGGTAAATCAATTCTGTAGTCGATCTCCTCTGCTCGAACATAACCAGCCTCGAACGTATCCCTATCCCTAAGATTGACAAGCCAAACGGTGATGACAATCTTGGGACTGCGCCCTCGAAAACCAAGGGAATCTTCGAGATCAGAAAAAACGAGATGAGACGATGCCAATCTTAGGGATGGGGATACATTTCCAGGCTGGTGATCACAGGCGGGGTGTTGCCAGAAGTGCCACCGGTCTAAGGTGCCCGAAGGACCTCCAGAGAGCCCCCCCCGGCCTCCCCAGAGATCCGACGCTTCAACAAAAATTGGAGCGGGCGGTTTTGGCTGTCCTCGGCCTCTGGGAGCCCTCGCCGGGCCTCGGGACCGTCCAACAGAACGACTCAGGACGAACAACCGGCCCTGGGGAAGCGGTCCTTTCTGGAGCCCTCGCGTCGAAAAGAACTGGACGGCCGGATGTCTGGGTCCAGACCCAGACATCCGGCGTCTCGATCTTGTCGAGACACGGGCCCCCGACCTCTGGACCACTTCCCCGGGACCGGTTTTTCATCCCGAGTCTTGTTCTGACGCTCTCGAGGCCCTGCAAGGGCCCCGAAAGGCCGAAACCTATGAAAAACCTCCGTCCCGATTTCATCGAGGCGCCCGATGTCTGGGGAGATCCCCTCGCGAGGCCCAGAGGTTGGCGGCGCGCAGGGGGGGGGGATTAGGGGGAGGGGGGGCGGCTTCTCAGAAGGAGGCGGCTTCTCGGCCGCCGGGGGCTCTCGCCGGGCCTCGGGCTCGCCCCAACAAAAAAGGCTCAGGACGATGAGCCCGCCGGGGGGAAGTGGTGCAGGACACTGGGACCCCTGAGATCCTGACGACCCAATTTTTTCGAACCGGACGTTTTCGCCATTTTTGGAGCCCCGGGACCCTCACATATCGATCTGGCTAGAACAACTACGCAGAAACATGGAGTTTGGGGCTCCAGTCGTGATTGCTGCGATGTTGTATTTTTTTCGCTCCGTCGGATTTCAGGGACGCTACCCCGCGGCCCACGCATCGAAAAAAGTGGAACGGCCGGATGTCTGGGGCCATTTCTCCGAGGCACTCGGGCCCCCAGGACACTCCAGAACCCCCCCAAAAAAACACCCAAACGACCCCAGACGTCCAAGAAACGCCTCGAGCTTCGATCCTGCAGCCTCGATCCTCTGGAGGAACTGGTGACCCCCTTCGTGTAGTGACCCCCTGAGCACTGCCCGACCACCCACACGACGCCTGGCCAGGCACAGCGGGGCGCGGCCAGCGAAAGTGGCCAAGGATGGGCCGAAAGGCGAGGATGCAAGGGCAACCTTGGAAAATCGTTCATCCTTATATGCGGGTTGACTGTGCCCCGGATCGCTTCTCGACGGCCCCGAAGCCCGTGATAAAGATATATAGATCGATCGATCGATAGATAGATAGAAAGAAAGATAGATAGATAGATAGATAGATAGATAGATAGACGCAGCCTCTCGGAACGCGGTGCCTTTGGGCCTGGGCTTCCAGAAAAAAATCTAAAGGGGGAGCCGCGCAAGGGGGGGGGAAAGGCAAAGCACAGTGCTGATACGACACCTACACATCAGGAGGGAGAGAGAAGAGAAGCTCGTACTGCTCGAATGTCTTATGGATCCACTTGCCTTATTGTACGCGCTGCTGTTCATTGATCATCCAATCCACCAAATCCCCCGCCGTGTCGCTCCACCTCCTGATCGTCACAAACCTCCTTTCAATCCCAACCGTAGTAAGCAAAGAGATGATCCTGCCAACGCCGCGCATGAATTTTACGACTGTGACCCTGATTGCCACTAGCCTTGACCATCGTGTGTAGATAGTGCCTGTCATTATGAGGACCTGCGGCGCAACTCTGCAAAGAGCATGCCAAGGCATGCGGGCAATGTGTCCTGTCCACATATGGGCTTGAAACAACGCAACCCGATTCCAAGTAGTCACACTGAAGCGCTCGATGGTCGATTGTATTTTCCGATTGATTCTGCTCTGAAAACACACTACGGCCTCCTCGGGATCTTTTCTCTGGTTAAGCATCGAACGAATCATACGACAATGCATCACTCTGATCATCTGAAGGTGGCGCTTGGTGTACATCCAGCTGCCTGCACAAAAGACAACCGCGCTTTTCACCACACTCTCCTGCAACTCCAGTCGCCGTTCTAGCTTCCCCTGCTTGGCGCACACGCGATGCCTCGAGAAAGCTGCCCAGTCGATAGATAGATCATTCTCTGCGCGGCTGTCGATGCGTTGTGGTCCATAATGATCCAACCTCCGAAACATCTGAAACCCTCCGTCCTCCCAGTCCTCGGTATTCTCACCTCCTTCACAGTAATACCCGTACTATCATCCGCCGCCGTCATCCAATAACGGTCCTTCACATGCACAACACAGCACTGTCCCCGTGCAATCTCGTGCCACGAATTGAACATCTGCACGACCATGCGCGAGCTTGTCGCGTACAAAAACTACGTGCCGGCAAGCACAACAAGCGGGAGTCGTTTAACATCAGGCAGCATGTTTCGTCTTTTGTGTAGTTGTGAGCCTTAGAAAAACCCAATCGGTCAATATTCTCGGCCTCCCATGGGTAGCCCCAGCGGTTTTTCCGACAAACATCGACAATAATCCCGACAACTTCGCCAAAGTACTAGGTAAACTTTCTCGGCGCCCCGGGGCACCCATGCGGCATCGAGCGGGCACGTGGTATGCCGGCTGTCGGGTCCAAACTTGGCACGCATGTGCTCGAAAGGCCACGTCGTACCTCCTTGGTCCTAGCACAGCGATGACGCGCGGAACGTTCCGCAAGGCGTGGGTCAGAACCCACCTGTTGTGATCGACCATGTCGCAAGCTTTGCGTAGATCGCCCACGCCCCAAAAAAGGGGCTCAGCTAACTCGTTGGCCCGCTCCACCAGCAACCTGGTAGAAGACACTACGTCGTGGGCCTGATACTGGCGTCGATTTGCAAAATCGTTCCAAAACCATAATATACGGCTTCCGTAAAACTGAAGGGATAGCGATCGGTCTAAAATACTTGAATTTTATGGCTCCGTAGAATCGAGCCAAACAAACGACATGATGGCGGTCCCGCAGGGCTCCACATCCTTTGTTCGGTGGTTCAAAATCTGGAGAACGAACATATCAGCAAAAAACGACAGAGCATCGTCACTGACCGCTTGCAACATTTCAGCAACGAACATATCATACTTCGAACACGTTTTGCCCTTCGTCATTCGCTGCAGGAGAGAGCGTATCAGGTGCGCATCGACGGCTGGCAAGTCAGCGAAGTCATTCCGATTCCAGCGCTGTGCGACCCAAGCAGTGACAACTCTGCGCTGTGGGTCAGGAAAAAAGCATAACGTACAACCCGTGTACCATTCTTCGCATCACATCGTGGTCCGTCGACAGGATACCCCCTCCTCCTCCAAAGCCTTCACAGTACTCATGGATCCCCTCCCCTTGTTCGACCCCGTCTTGGCAAAAGCAGCAGCCAGGCGCTCCTCCGCCTGTAAGCGTGCAAGAGTGTCGTTCCAGAACCGTGGCTTGACGAATCGGATGCCGTACCGCATATTTTAGAGCTCCCGGACCAGTAAGACCTGAGGATGATTCTCGGGCAGTTCGGGGCTCTTGGTGTTCTGCCGTGCGAAACCACAACGCGCGACAGTGGTCGAGACAACCTGCGCAAAGAAAGACCGAATAGGTACATCCCTTCCATGCCCATCCCTCCTCACCAATACCCTGGCCCCGTCGGGAGCATCACACATATCGGGATCCACCCGGCACACTCCAGCGATCCTTCGCTGCCTGGGCAAATAACATGACGGCGCAACGCAGAACAAAGCGTGGACACAACGTACCTCTCGGTAGTGGCCTGGCGTCACACTGGACAGAAACGCAACTTCCTCACAAGGCATCTCGCGAGCACGAAGACGAGAGGGGAGAGGAAAACGACGGTCGTTCGTGCAAACATAAAGTCGTTTGACATATAATGTGTGTCTCCTCCTGGAGTTGGGTGTGCCTCCAAGTTTGGCCAAACCGTCCACGGGTTCGTTGCCCTGGGTACCCCTGTGGCCCTTGACCCACATGTCCTGGACAACGTACACCCTCTTCACACGTGGCCAAAGAAGAGATAACACCTCAGACATCAGGATGTTGTGCGTTGGGAGAAAAACGCGAATCGAGGACACTTAGGATGTAGGAAAAAACGAAAAACACCTCAACGCAGGAACCTTGTGTGATAGGACCTTGGACATTCCCCTCTGCCTGCGCAAGTAACCACAAACACAATTGGATGGCACGTGCCAGTTCAGCTGTATTGCGAGTCAGACGTATCGCACCGACATATCCGGAACCAGCAATGTCCAAGACCACCGCACCACCAGCTTGAAAGCACAACATGTCGAAGGACTCAGTGGATGAGGGGGCGACTGAATATGCATGAACCCCCACCCGCATTATGCGGCTCTACCCTTTCTTGCTCTGGAATGGCCATCAGAGAACCGAAGCCCGTGGAGGGCCCCCCAAAGCTCAAGATCGTCCCCAACTGGCCGTTCCGCCTTTGTTTGGGGGGCCTTGGGGCTCTCTGGGAGGCCCGGGGCGGGCGCGCACGCAAGAGACGGAGGAGGAGGAGGAGGACAAGGAGAGGGAGGAGGAGGGGGAGGAGGAGGAGGAGGAGGAGGAGGAGGAGGAGGAGGAGGAGGAGGAGGATGATGATGATGATGAGGAGGAGGAGGAGGAGGAGGAGGAGGAGGAGGAGGAGGAGGAGGAGGAGGAGGCGGACGGAGGTAGGAGGAGGGGAGGAGGAGGAAGAGGAGGAGGCGGAGGTAGGAGGAGGAGGAGGAGAGGAGGAGGAGGAGGAGAGGAAGGGGAGGAGGAGGAGGGAGAGGAGGACGAGATGAGGAGGACACTGGAGAAGGAGGAGAAGGGAGAGGATGAGGAGGGAGGAGGAGGAGAAAGGGAGGAGGAAGAACGGAGGAGGAGAGGAGGGAAAAAGGAGAAAAAGGAGGTGGAAGGGGGGACAAGGGGGAGGAGGACAGGACGAGGAGGATGATGAGGAAGAGGAGGAGACGGAGAAAGAGGGGGAGGAGGAGAAGGACGAGGACGAGAGGAGGCGGAGGAGGAGAAGGGGAGGAGAGGAGGAGGTGGAGGACGAGGTGAGGAAGAGGGAGGAGGAGGGGAGGAGGAGATGAGGAGGAGAAGAAGGCAGAGGAGAAGATGAGGAGGAGAACGAGACGAGGATCAGGACGAGGAGGAGGAGAGGGCGAGGACGAGGAGGAGATGACGATGAGGAGGAGGTGGATGAGGAGGAGGATGAGGAGGGATGAGAGGATGGGGGAGAAGGAGGAGGACGAGGATGAGGAGGAGGAGAGGAGGAGGAGAAGGGAGCAGGAGAAGGAGGAGGACGAGGACGAGGAGAGGAGGAGGATGGAGAGGACGAGGACGAGGAGGAGGAGGAGAGGAGGTGGACGAGGAGGAGTGGAGGAGAGGAGGAGGATGCGGATGATGATTGATGATGATGATGATGATGATGACGATGATGATGATGATGATCCCCGCTCGCTCCGCTGCGTAGCAGTCGTCTCGGGGCCGCGCGCGGGACCGCGCGCGCGGGGCTAAAGGTGAGAGCCCCGACGCGCGCCTGCCCCGAGCAGCGCTCTCAGGAGGCGACCCCCAGGGGCGGCTCCTGGACGACCCGCGGGTCGTAGCAGCGCCGCAGGCTAGCCTTGGTAAGGAGGGAGAGGCGGGTTGGGGGCCGAGAAGCTGCAGGACGCCTGCGGGGCGATCGCGGCGGGGATATGAGGAAGCATCCCCGCTCGCTCCGCTGCGCAGCAGTCGTCTCAGGGCCGCGCGCGGGACCGCGCGCGCGGGGCGAAAGGTGAGAGCCCCGACGCGCGCCTGCCCCGAGCAGCGCTCTCAGGAGGCGACCCCCAGGGGCGGCTCCCCGGACGACCCGCGGGTCGTAGCAGCCATGCCCATGCTCAAAGCCCTTGCGCAGTGACAAGTCTAGAGCGGGCGGCCGCGAGAACGAAAGGCCAGGCGGAGGGCCCGCCGACAGAAATCGGGCGACCAAGTAGTCGCTAACACTAGCGAAATACTCAACCTGTTCCCGTGCAGGGAGCAGGGAGGGAGGCAAGGACAGTAGAGGCGGCGGCGGCCTGCAGATATCGTTCGGCGCTGGAGGCTTGCCTCCAGCGGCCGCGCCAGAAGACGCGAGGGACGTCTTCGGTGGCAATATAGAAATCTGTAGCGCCTGAGCCTCGAAGGCACGCGGGGGCGGCGTGTGTGAGGGGCTTTTCCGTTCGAGGCGTCATCCCCGTTGTTCGTTGGTCGTCGTCTCTGTCGTCCCCCTTCCTTGCGCCCTCCTTTCCGTGGGCCCGTCGCCACTCCCGCCCTCTTTCCCAGCGGGGGCCCCTGCTCAAGCGCGCCAGCCCAAATGAACTTCAGCAACGTCGCATTTGAGTCGAAGGGAAGCCCCTTCCCTTTGATCCCTCCCCCCGCCGGGAGGGGGGGGGGTAGCGGGGGTCCGGGGCGGGGTCCCGGGGGGGGTCCGGGGGGGGGCCCGGGGGGGGGGGCGCCACTCAGATACGACGCCCCCCCCGCAACCCCGCAAGTACTGCACGTAGGGATTCTTTATTGTTTCGGGGCCGCGCCCGAGCC